TCTAAGCTCCGTCAAAGGGGGGTTATGTGGGGTTTAGGGTTTAGGGTTATATGGGGGATTATAGGACTACTGTAGGGGTTATGAAGGGGGATACTAATACTAGGAGTTTAGACTAGAGCTCCTATGACTTGACGCGTCCCGAATCTACTCACATCGCATTTCTTCAAACGCCTACTTCCAAGTTGACCACAGCCCTGCCCAGAATCTGCAACTCAAAGATAGCCGACAAAATGAATGCTCCAAACCTTAAAGCCAAACTTTCGGTAAGGTTACCAAAATGGAACCCTAGTTTTGGAAAACTATCCAATGGCCCTTCGGGGGCCTGTTGCTGCTGCTGTGGCCGCACAGGTAAGCACGATGGATATGGGCTTGGCATAGCCGTATAATATGTTGTCGGCCTGCTGGAACACTGATAAACGCCGCAAGGCAGGAAATAATCCCCTCCCCCCAATATTAACCCCCCCCCCCTTCCCCCTAATATCAACTACTCTCCATTGTGGAATATTATAATATATTGGGAATATTTACTATTAGGAGGGGGTGGTTTAATATTAGGGGGGGGGATATGGGGCCAGAATTATGATGGCATGCCTTGACTCCTCGGCATAGGAACACATTAGACAAATCTTGCTGCGGCTGCAGCTACTAGTTGTAAGCAAGTTAACAAGACCTGAACGCGGAAACAAGAACGTGCATGATTATCAAGAACATGACGAAGCAAAGAGAAGAACACTTGAGGCAAAAACACCAAGAAAGAGTTGCCGCACTTCCAAACAGCTGAGGCATCCCCGCACCAATCACCTTGCCCGATCAACCATGAAGCCCTGTATTCTGATAAGCAAAACACGAGCACGGGGCATTCGACTACAAAACCGCCGCAGATGCCATCCGCTTCAAAATTACTCTTGGTGTCGGCACAGGCCCCAATGCAAGACCGCGCTCATCTGTGTAACCAGTGCAAGGACTCTAGGTTCAACCCCATGGAGTGAGGTTCCAATTTCACGGCTTACAGGGGTCAGACATGGTTAGCTGGTTAGCAGCCCAGGTGCATATTTCAAGCAGGTAGGGATGATGATGCAGTTCAACGTCTTCAATGCCACGATCACCTGTTCAACCACAGACACGAATAGCGCCTTTTCTTCTTGTCACAATCTGAGGCCGACGACTACATATGTGGCAGCCGCCATTGAGCAAGTAGCAAGCCGCAAAAAAAGGCCAAAGAGGAATTGCGTTCAACTATCCCGACATGCTGAGCAGTTCAGCCAGCTACCCCAAGCCCCAAAAACCTAAGCCCTAGGCGCCTAAACCCTAAAGACAGAAAGGGCACCCAAACATAGGCGTTGAAGCCAGCTGTAGCTTCCGCGAAGGTAGGAATTCCAGGACCGGTGCCCAGGAAGACCATCCTGATAGTCGTAGACGAGTGTCAAAATAGGGCTCTATAGGGTTTACGGTGGGATATAGGGGTTATATTAGGTTATATAAGGGTCATCTGGGGCTATATAAGGTTTAGGGCTTAGGGCTTGAGGCGGGATATAGGGGTTACATTACGATGTATGGGGGTCAGGGGCTCTATAGGGTTTAGGGATTAGGGCTTAGGATATTCCCAAAATCAGGGGTATGTTTTGGGGTATCTACATTAAGGATGGGGGTCCCCCCATTGAGTTAAAGCTGCCGGCAGGATGCAATCAGTTGTCCAAGACAGCTGTAGCCGCATGGGCATTGTCGAACAGTGGCACAACCGATACAAGAAACCCGGCAACACCTCGACACCCAAGTCCCTCGACTAAGACCCAGGTCCGCGCTTCTCTGATTGACGTACAGTAAGATGTTCCTTCGACTGATAAGATGACCACCAGCAGGTTGTTGCCAAAAAATGGAAAGTGGGACAACATCCCGGCATCGACGTTACTTCGAGTTCAGCTTTCACTGCGCAAAGCTCAGCACGCTCACGCTGGGCTGCAAGAAAGACCCGAAACACATGAAAAGCAAAAGAGTCCAACAAACAGAACTCAGCTCTGTCTGCGAAGGTTCCCTGCTGCTTTGATGATGATGACCCATAGGCAAATCCATGTGGTCAGCTGAAGATTCGTGACCCACTCATCAGTATCCTCCTGCGGCTAGCGGGGACTTTCAGAAGCGTTTGAGACTTCTGCTATGGCCAAACTCCTGCTTCCAAAGGTCTCAACAGCTTGGTGCTACATGGGGGTCTGTCCAAACTTACTTCTCATTTGTACACGTATTTTGCCGACCATTCGGCAGCCCGTTCGCCATTCTGTTCTGCACAGGATTTGCGGTGACTTTTCTTGTAAGCTTTTCAGAAATTAAGTTCGAAATCATCACGCAAAAGCAAGTGTACAAGCCGGCGAGGTTGCCTCGAAAGGTTTCAGCGCGAAACCCTCAGTCCTCAATCGCTGACCCTTCCTGAAACCCGAAACATTCAGCCCTGAGCCCGAACAAAAAACCAAACACAACCCTCAATGAGTCAATGACCCGTGTCCTTAAGGAGCCGTTCATAGAAGACATTGGGCAGCGCAGAGAGCAGCGCAGAAAGCACCTCACAGTATACGTTTCAGAAGAGTGTTGCTGATTGATGGCATGTTGACCATGTCTTTGCATTGGGCGTGTGCTTGGTGCAGTGCTGAATTTGAGCAGCATGCCATTCTCACCAGTGTCACCACCACCACCACCACCACCACCACCACCACCACCACCACCAACAACAACAACAACAACAACAAAAACACCACCAACACCACCATAGCCATCACGATCGTCATCCTCGTCGTTTATCACCACCACCATCATCATCACGATCATCACCATCATGCGTGCTGCCCTTTCTCGCCTGTTTGTTGGCCCTGAAGTCTCAGCAGTCAACATGCTTCAAAGTCCTTGAAGACTGGACCGCTCAGAGCAGTGAAGCAAGGTTCGTCATGATGCATAGCCCGTATACTGACACCCCCAGCAAGGTCTTGCTGCAAGGATGCGGTAGTCCTAACTCACAAGCGCTTTGCCAAGCTGCCGTCAGCCCCGCGCCCAACCACGGAGCCGTGCCACCTTGAATCCAGCTCAGAAAAATACGGAATGGACATGCGAATAAAAACGATACTGGTAAACATCATAATCAGAACTAGTAATAGAAGTCAAAAATTGGTAGCAGTAAGCAGTACGCATTGCCAGAACAAACGTTGCACCAACAGCGCTGCTGGCAATCGCTTCCTCCTTATGGGTGTAAACGGGGCCCGCAACAATGAATCAGCGGGGTTCTGAGGTCGCAGGGGTGTTATAATAATGAATCAGAGGTATTAGGAATATCGCGCATGTGTTTTTGGTGCGTGAGAGAGAGAGAGAGAGAGAGAGTGTGTGTGTGTGTGTGTGCGCGATTGGTGTAAAGGATTTGCATATAAGAGAATCTTCTGACAATCATCTTGGCATGAGGTATCTCGTTGCTTTTCTAGGTTGCGTGTTGTTAAAGGAGTATGTGTAAAAAAGAAGTCAAAGGAACCCTAGTTAATCAATTAAGTACAAATATGCGTCCCCTTCATTTTCTGGACTCTTATCCTTCTTCTTGTTGTTATCGTTGTTGTGGCTGGCGGTGGAGTTTTTCAATTGGTGTTTTAATTTCATGCATTCAAATTAGAGTCTGCTGTGTTTCCTACGTCTTCTCTTTATTTTGCGGTGGGGCTTGGTTGGTCCCTTTCTAATTCTTTACAGTAATGCCCAGAAAACCAGGCAGGATATTTTGGGGACGCCGTCCAGGATCTTTCAGGAAGCGGGGATCTTTGGGGGAGCATTTCTTGTTGCGGAGGGTTTTTGGGTTAAGGGATTAGTGGCGCTACCCATGAACGCATGCATGCAGCATCTCGGTGATTCGTCATGCACTGGTCTGACCGTAGTTTTCAAGCATCTCGGGCATCATCAGGTTGACACTGCGCTGAAAGGTTTGCATGAACGGCATGGCTTCGGGAAAGCGATTGGCCGGAAGAGTAGATTGATGTGCAGAACGCAGTATAGAACATCATCATAGCATTAGTCACCAGTCATACCGGTATAACTATCGATGGGCTGCCTTTATTTGTTCGCATTCAAGTCTCACCTATCTGACTTAAGACGGCTAGCATGTGAGAAGAAGAGCTGATGATCCAACGAAGCTCATCTTGCTCTCAAGCATGAGCAGTGCAAGGGGGCTGGCGGCTTGTTTTGATCTGACCGCTCCGTGAAATGTGTGCAGCACAGTTCCCTGGATGTCAAGTCTTGCACTCTCTTGGGAGCCCACTGCTTGCATTCCCGCATGCAGAAGGGTACTTTGGCAAGGCCGCAACAACAGCAAATCCTTCATGCCAAGGCACTCAGCACTGCTGGGCCTGCGACTTCCGCAAGCTGCGTGAGGAGTGTGCCTGCTAGGGTTGAGGCAGCATTCAACTCAGTTTATCTGACATCTAGGCCCTCTACTTATGTATCTGCGCCCTACAGATTGTAGATCGAGTAGCTATGCCGGAAGGCCTAAACATCCTGAGCATGTAGCCATGGGGTAGGGGAGGAGCTTCATGACGTAATTTGCCTTACGCCGCTCGAGGAACTTAAGGAATAGCCACCTTCATGATACATCTGATCTAGCAAGTTGACGTCAAGGTGACTCCGCGCCTAAGAGCAGAAGGCCCAGAGCGACAATCTGCATGCTGGAGAAGCTCTTGCCGAGCAATTGTGACATAAAGCCCGCTGTAAAAATCAGCTTGCTCTGACCTCTGGCAGGATGGGGCAATCAAGCTCTCACCATTGACTAGGCGCCCATCAGGGCTCATGGACTATGGTGATTATGGTGCCCAAAACAGGGTTGGACATTGCTAAGCGTCATGGCTACCAACTTCCATGTGGTCGGCAGCATGAAGCGTCACCGTCCAAATGAGACGGCTTAGCACACTTTTGAGCATCCAGCACATCAAACACTCGGCTGCAGTAAAGAGCACTATGCTGTTTGCAGCTCCGGGCGACTGAGGATCTGGTACGTAGCCGCAGAGCAGTACTGAAGGCAAACGAAATAGAGGAGATTCCTCAAACAGAAATGGCCGGGGTGAACACCGGAGGGGAGCAGTGATTACCTTCCACAAGCACATCAACGTAAAGCCTGAACCCAAAATAGTAGTTTCCATCTTCTTTCCCCTTATCCCTATGTCCCTATATAATCCCTAGATATATGCATGTATATATATATATATCTACCTATACACCCTATTACAATGTAGTAATGTAGTATACAAATCAGTGTCCTGGAGAAGGCTGGCGGAACTGCGAACAAACGAAAACGATCATAAGGCCTTGCATGAAACATCGGAGCCGAAGTGCTGAGCTGCATAGAGCAAGCCGACCCACCACATAGCTAATGGGTTTCGGGTCAAGGCTGTCCTTGGCAGATAGGTGATCAGGGTAATTTAGAATAATTTCGATTCCCAATTTAAAGCCATCTTGGTACTTTTCCCTATATAAACCACCATTTAGAGTGAGGTCGGGTGAGGTCGCTTTAACTTGCCCAGAGGTGATGTCTAGACTTTGGCGTGGGGGGATGTTAGTATTCTGGGCCCCTTGTGCTTGTTTGGCGGGTACAGAGAGGGCACCTAATTACTTGGAGAAGTGCCCATGCAAAATCTAATGCTTCCAGATAGTTCAAGATGAATAGAGCTGACATCTACCGTCTTCGACCCAAGAAGACGAGATGTGATTTCGGCTTCAGGTCAGCTACCGAACCATCCCGGACAGCTCCACCCAATTTAGTCAGCTAGGCGCTTAATGGTGGGTACCACTTGGCTCGGCGTCTTGATGAAGCCGATAGCGGTGAGGAGCAGCCTTAGCTGAAGCAGGGCTCTGGTTGTGGGACATGTGAGCTATAGTCTAAACTCCGGGTATCCCCCTTCATAACCCCTATAGTAGTCCCCTATATAGAATCTCCTACAACACCCCCATTAAGAAGTTTAGGCTATAGCTCATGTAGTCGGAGTTGGTTGCTTTTTGTTGTTCGGGTCGCGCTGAATATGTTTCCCAGCAGGATGGTGCCAGGGCGCAGATGGTGGATTATTGGAAGCTGTAATTTCATGCTTGGGCTTTGCGTCTCTCCCCCGCTCACCACCTCCGCCAAGGGTTGCTGACGCGCATATCTTATAGCCCTGTCAAGATGATTGGAATCTAGCCGAACCAACCTTGTCTGGCATGATTCCTGATTGCTAGTTCGCCGACCGAAGGGAAACGGGCTTCCAGGAATCGCGTCGAGTTGTTGTGCCAACAACTCCACTCTTTACCTTGGAGCTTGTATGTTTGTATATGCTTACAAAGTCTGAAGAAGAGCGCATTTGAGTCTCTTAAGGCGTTGCTCAGCCTGGCGACTTTGCGGTGCCCGCCATCTAAAGCATTCCTCGCTATGCAAAGCAGTTGCATGTCTTGCCCGCTAGTCCCAAGGCTCTCAGCTCTGTTTAGGCTCCCCCTCCCATGCGCCTCAAGCTTTGCTGCGACGAGATGCGGGAACTTCAGCATCTCGCTTAGCAATGTAACGTTTGCCCCTGAGTAGGCGAGGCCGCACCGGGCCTGAAAAAAGAGGGTTTCAAGCAATGCATCCGCTACTTTGCATAATGGATGCTACTGAGGCTGCTGTAAGTCTTATTGCTGCTTCTACTACCGCCACTGGTATGCTTGCTGTTGTCACTCCGCCGCTTTCGTAGCTTTACACCAGCGACTATATTTGCTACGAGCGAAGATCTGCGACACTCGGTAAAACCCGAAACCGCACCCTCAAGCTTCGACCCTGAATAGTCTGAACAGTTTGAGTATCAGGCCTTCGGAACCTTAACCCAGAACCCGAGCCCTCTGATTGTTGGTCCGTACTTAAGCTGCCCCCTCATCATGGAGTGCTGCTTTTGCGGCATCTGCTTTAATCCGTTCCTTGCAAACATGCAGGAACATGCAGGAAATTCCGATATGTGCACGGGGCTGGAAGCCAGAATTTTGCTTGCCGCAGCTTTAAGCTTTGAAATCTTTGTTGACAGGGCTTCAGTCCGTCATTTGAAAGCGCTAGATGGTGGCGGCTGCTGAAAATTAATCAGTTTGTCGTTGCAAAGTTTAGCCGGGTGAGCAAGAGCCTTCACTTATATGTACGTCCAACGCGAAGACTGGTAGGCCAGGCTCGCAGTCTAAGATCATTGCCTTCATTTACCCTACGCGCCTCAGTAGCTCCAATGCCTTGGATGAAGCCTGGAACCCATCTTTGCCCCTCGTTGCAATGCCTTCGTCCACCACGTCAGCGCATCAGCTGCGCATTTCTGGCAAACCAAAGCGGCAATGCACCTGTGGCCGACGCTCGGCTGCCAAATTCCGTGTTGCTTTTTTCATATTCTAACACAGACTCGTAAAGGGCTTCTGTCTACACGCAGCTCGAGACGAAAGCAGCGCAACGAAAACCACCCTTGACACCGACCAAGCACGCGGCAAACATCCCAAAACTTGCGGGCACAAGCTGAAGTTCAGACTGTCCATTCTTAGATTTCTTATCGCCATGAACCGCTTAGCTGCCCGTGAAACCCTTTCATTGAAACTGCCACGGCGCAGCGTGCCAGGAGAAGCTAACTGCCGGACCCATCCTGGGAGGAGGCAGAGCAACCTTTCCATGACACCTGTCTGTCTAGCATCTGTCTACCAAAAGAACTTTCTCCTCATCCAATCTTGCTCTTTGACCTTCACCTTTAAGCGACATGCAACCCCCTTGCTTCAACCCCCTTACAGCTCCCTGGTGGTGGGCCTCCAGCATCGGATTGGCTGCTGGATGCTTTTCGGGCGACAAGCAGGCCAACCTTGATGGAATCAAGTCTGACAGCTGGCAAGTTGGCAACGTTGCTCGGGGTCTGATGTAAACCCTGTAGCAGTTTCCATTTTATTTTCCATTATCCCAATATATATAAGCCCATATGTGAAGCCATACTGAATTCTGAACGTACCTTCATTGGGCAGTTTCATATCAACCTGCCCAAACATCCATTGCCACTGTTTAACTTAGAGCACGTTCTTACCTCCAGTTCATGGCCTCCGGCTTCCTTCGGCATCCTCCAGTCTGGGCCGAGATGCTGTCGCCAAAGCGCCGGCCGCAAGGTATTCGAGGCTCTGGTCAAAGGAGCTGGGCGTTGTGACCATGCCAGGCCTGCCATTTTGTAGCTAGCAAGCCCACTGAAGTATTGCCCCAGCCCCTTTTGTAACAAAGAGGATGACAGCCAGCTTCTTAAGAGGCAGACTGGCTAATGTAATTCTCACGTTTAACGCTTTGGGTCTTCTGTTCCAGTGTGCTTCAGCTCAAGGCACTAGGAGTAGCTCAAAGAAGCCATGCTTTGCAAATAAGTCAGGCAGGGTCGGGCGGGGCGATGCGTTCACACAGCGAAATTCACGTTTAGAGCTGGCCTGCCCAAGTCGTTTGCCTTTGAAGGCCGGCCGGCAAAAACTGTATGACCATGCACACACGTGGCCTTGGCTACGCTCAGCCAAAAGGGCTTCCTCATGCACAGCACTGAGAGCCAGGCCAACATCGATCAGTGCATGAAATGGCAAGATTTTCCGGCCAAGCTGCTCCAGCGCACGTGGACTTCTGAGTCACATGGAGGTTGAAGGCTGGATTTCCTGCTCGCTGAGGCGACCCCTGGCGCGAGAGCACGCCGGGCTCTGAAGCCGAGTGTTCCGGCTGCGGCTGCAGTTCCAACCTGGTGCGTTCGACTGGGAGGGACAGCGCACAAGTGTGGTAACTGTCCCCCGGCGCTTCCTAGCCAAGCGGCAGTTCTACGTCCTGCACCACCCACCAAAGGAAAAACAAAGCCAGAGGGTGTCGCCATCGGCCGCCTCGCCCACGCGATGGGTCGGGAGCCATGCGGCTCAGACCCATGGGGGCGCGTGTCTGGGGCACTGCTGAAACAAGGAGCAACGTGCCTGTGTACAAGCTGGAGCCGAAAAATGCGAAAGATTCAGAGTTTGGCACTTCACAATGCTTCTGACCTCCTGTATCGGAGATTCCCCTTGCACACCTCATCTCTTGGCCCCCATGTGAACACCAGCAGCGCAATCCATATCACCAACAAATCTGCTGACGTGCCACTTTCATCACAGAACACCATGCGTGACAGGATGAGCTACTAAGCTATGCCCGACCTCTGAGTAATTAGCTGAAGTTCATGTGACTGCAATGCAAGTGGCGGAGGAGATGACCATGAAGACGACGTCGCTTTCAAGCTCACCGTACACTTTTGGTGGGCTTGCCTGACGAGAGCAAACCTAGTAGTATTGCCTGCTTTTGAAGCCTGGGAAGTCGCGAAGCAAAGCCTCCCACAGACCATCCCGCAATCATGCTGCATGGCATTTTTGTAACATGGCATCTATAAAGCTGGCAGAATGCAGGAGTCCAACGGTGATGTCCTTAAAAAGAGCCATCAACTCCATACATTTTTGTGCACTAGCCACTGGCCTTTGGATCTACTTTCAGCGCATTGATGGCAAAATGTAGATCTTCCAGCGTGCAATCTGCCAGGCTGATGACCTTGGACAGTTGAGGCTAGATGGCTCTGTTTTGGGGGTTTCCCAGCCTTAAAGGGGATACAGGGATTATATAGGGGTATGTAGGGGATATATAGGGATCTGTAGGGTTCTTACAGCTTGGTTCGCCTAAAGCTGCTGCACAGGCTTCTTGGTCTGACTCTGCTGGATTTCTCAATGCCTCTGTGCCTAAAAAAGAACTGTGCGGTCTTGAGACTCATTCTTCACAGACAGGCAGACACACGACATTCGAGAACTTTCTGCACATACTAGGGTGTATATATGTAGGGGATGTATAGGGATAATGGAAAGGAAAATGGCAACTGTGTGTATATATACATATGTGTAGATATATAAACAAGAGAGAGGGAGAGATATGCCAGGCTGCCACAAGCCGGCATGACTGGATCGTCTCTGCCATCTTCTTGGCCTGTCCATGCAGGACTTTCGGCACTCACGTTTTCTACAATGTCAAAGTCTGTTGCTTCTTCCTGAACAGCCCTACACCCAAAGTACAGTACTCTAGTACCCTATATGCCCCTTTTTGGTGGTGGGGGTGTTGATGACTTGTTGTGTCAACCCTAACAGGCCCGAAAAGCAAATGCTGCTTGGCTTGGTTCATAGCATCTGCAGCAGTCTTCCTCTAGGTGGATACCCTTTTGGGAGCCCCATGCTCAGGATTTATTGCGGTATGCCTTCTATGAATGCTTGAGTCAATTGATAGCAGAATGTGCCTGCAAGCGAGGTAAAATTGGCACAGGTTCCGGCCTTCTTGGGGTCATCGCGGCAAACTATTCGCTTGACCTGATGGTCTTGGCGTAGTCGACGAAAAATAAAGCACAAAACACTTCAACAGCCATTCTGGTGTGGAACTGGCGCATGGTCCCCTTAAGTAGATAGAACATGGGGTATATGGGTATCCTGTTTATTATGTCTTTGGGCAATTCCATATTCTATCTACTGAAGGAGGACTATAGATAGAGGTAGGGAGTCAAGTCGCTGCAGCTGGTGCTTCCTCTGCTTTTGAAGCAGTGCCGAAGATACGGTTCAAGCCGCCTCAGAGCGCTTTTAACAACTCCCATTCTCGTTTGGCTGCCACGTCAGTCTAAACCTATACTTTCTTGCTTGCTTCATCTTGCTTCCTTGCAGGAAATGAAGTGTGAAGCTTTGTCGAGTTCGGAACCCCTTCTCAGACGCAGCCCTATAGCATGAGTAAGTCAGTACGCGAACATATCACTTCTTGGATACTAGATACGGCTTAAAAGCTTACCTTGCAGCCTTCCCGCGGTCCCTTGTTGCAGAACTTTCCGGGAGATATTGAGGGTCGAAAGATGGGCTTGAATAGCTGTCTCGCAAGCTCTGCATTCAGCACGCAACGGTCCTCACAGAAAAGCCATCTAGTACCGGCTAAGGGCTCCTTAGACTGTTAGCTTTGCTCCGACACGTCCTATGCTTTCGGCCAAGAAGCCTTCCGCCTTCCGGAGCTCCTTTACAAGCGCCCTCCCGATGTAAGAGTCCACATTATGTATGAATATCCTGCCAGGTGCAGGGTTGAGTTTAAGCAGTGCCGCGCTGCATTTGCTGAATTGTCCAAGGGCTCATCTGACTTCCAGCGATTGGGCTAGAGCGTGCCAAGAAGGCTTGACGCAGGGCCGTGCATGCCAACACATTCCAAACCTATCAGACTTACCCCAAATCTCACAAGGGCTGGCAATGCATGTGACATACAATACTATGATCTACTATAATATAGTATAGTATACTACAACAGCAAACATACATGTATGTACACACGCATGTATCTGTAACTGGCTGACCGGTCCTCATCTGCCCGTTGCCTGACCAAGATTCAGGTTTAGAGCAATAAGCTACATGCCTTCTACATCCTGTTGCTGTCTGCAAGTGTAGCCGAAAACTTGGTGACATGTGCACCACGTTTGTCAAAGCGCTCATAGGTGTACTGAGAAGATCTCTCACAAATGCCGCAGGCGGCTATGCCTCACGATATCCGCCCCTCAAACCCAATCCCCCCAAATGCTCTTCTACCCTGTCGAGATGATTATCGCGATGACTGTTGTTGCTTAGGATTCCCACTCTGACTGCGATGTTCGATTACGTCACCTGCCTGGGGTCCCTTATCAACTGCTTCCTTCACCGTTAGGACATGATGCATGTCGAGACAACAGGATGCCCACCTGAAAAACGCGTATGCAAAACAACTTTTAAGTACCTAGACCCAGCAAGCCAAAAACCCTAAATCCATGTCTCATGCTGCTGGGGCACGGAGCTTTGCTGGGCAACGGGACAGGGCCAGTAGCACTGCTTGAGCCACTGACCGAAGACGCAATTCCCAGAATGAAGTTAGTTATCCATTTCATACAGACCCCGAAAATGGCCCATGAAGCCTAAACCCTAAACCCCTACACCCTAAACCATGAGTCTCCAAGAAAAGCAGCTTCACAGAGTGGGACTTTGGGATCCTTTACCTATGCCTACATGGCATAAGGAGGCTTGAGTGTGAGCCCTGCATTCTAAACCTGCTGAAGTGCAAGGAATTTAGAACAATGGAAAAAATGGAAACGACATATTGGGGTGTGTGTATATATATATAAGGTTATATTGGGATAAGGCATGTCAGCTTTAGTTGTCCCTGTGGCGCTCAGTGCACAGCAGCTCAACGCTGAGACCCTGTAGTTTTCACTTTATTTTCCATTATCCCAATGCAACCCCAATATAACCCTATGAATACCCCCAGGATGTGCCCTATTATACTACAGTAGTATTCATTTTAGTTTCCATTATCCCAACATAGTCCACATGTTCGCGGGACAGGCTCCAAGTCAGTAGTCACGTCCCACATCGCACCAGAAAAGACGATTCCGCTTTGGCTTCATGCAGCTTTGCATGCTTGATCACAGGCGCGAAATGTCTAGAGACGTTGGTCGCTTTATTGGTGCAAGCTCTCACCCTTAATGATTGGTTAAAGGCTGCTCCTTGGTCCAAACAGTGGCCTAGTCTTAGATCTGCAGCCGTCGGACTCCAACAAGTGTGGGAGGCAGGCATTGATGCATTCTCCCAGCCCTGATGATGATTGGCTGAAACCTTAATCCCCAAGACCCTAAACTCTATACAAGCCCATTATAGTAGTTTCTATGTCCTCTTCCATTGTCCCTATATAACCCCAATCTAACCCTACAATATAGTAGCTTCCATTTCCTTTCCATTGTCCCTATATAACCCCTATACTATATCCCTATATAAACCCTATATAACCCCTATAATATACCCCTATATTTTAATCCCTTGGGGTCTGCTGCCAAGGCTGCAACGCCGGAACGCCTCTGTGTGCAGCCTCAGCGTACTCATCCCCATGGGTGCTTTGACTTATAATATAGGGGTATAATAAAGGGGTTATATAGGGATAATGGAAAAGAACATGAAAACTACTATACTGGGTTGTATAGGGATTATAAGGTATAATATAGGGGTTATATAAGGAAAATGGGAAAGAACATGGAAGCTACTATATTATGATAGGGATATCGTGGGTTTATATAGGGATAATGGAAACGAAAATGGAATCTACTATAATGGGGTCATGAACTATCATTGCACCCTTTCCACTTACAGCAGCAATTATGCATGAGTTGTGCTCATCCCTTATGTGGAACATCTCCGAGCCTCGTAACATCTCATGCCTGGAGCTGGCCGTCGCGCAAGCTTACACCTCTCTCAACTCACATGAACCTCTGCTCCGACCTCCATCTTCCCCATGCCCTGCTTCATATCCCTATTACAATATAGTAGCTTCCATTTCCTTTTCCATTATCCCTACATAACCCCTATATATACCCTATAATCCTTATAAAACCCATTATAGTGGTTTCCATTTTCTTTTCCACCATCCCTATATAACCCCTGTATTCTACCCCTAGATAAACCCTATATAACCCCTTTATAACCCCTATATTATTCCCCCATATTTTACAACAAAACAAAGGCTCCAGGGTCCCTGCAGCGCCGCTGGTTGCCATAATCTGGCGTATGGGCGTCTGCAGCCTGGGCGGCTGCTTTCCGGGGATTAAAATATATGGGTATAATAAAGGGGTTATATAGGGATAATGGGAAAACTATAATGGGTTGTATAGAGATTATAGGGTATAATAATATAATATAGGGGTTATATAAGGATAATGGAAAAGAAAATGGAAGCTACTATATAATGGGTTGTATAGGGATTACAGGGTATAATGATATGATATAGGGGTTATATAAGGATAATGGCAAAGAAAATGGAAGCTACTATATTATGATCCTTACAACCTGGGATAGCTTGGACCTGAGTACTCCCTGGAGCTGATCAAAAACTTTACTTGCGACTCCAGGCTTGCCGCGCTTGCGCTTGTTCAAAACTAGCTGTGCATAGCTGTGCCATGTACCTAGAATCCTCCAACCCATCAATTGTGCGACACAACTCGTTGAAAGATGTCGGTTTACCTACGCTGCACTGCTGAAAGCTCGTCATTCCAGAAGGTTGCACGTCGACAATCCACGCGCTACTATCATTCTGAGCTGAGCACGTGATGGTAGTTGACTGAACATGCACAGCCTGCCGCAAAGTAGTCAGCGAAGCCAGAAAGCAGCAATCCGGACTCATTGCCTATGAGCTAGCAAAGGCCTCCTCACATGGCGTGCATGTGCCCGGATTTATCGAGTTGTTGCAGTCTAAGATCTGAAGCCTAGGTTGGCCCCTCAAACCCATTGAACAATACTATTTCATATGGTCCCCTATTAAAGCCATTAGGGAAAATATCAAATATCCTAGGGGCCTACCCAGAAGCAGTCGCATCCCGGCTGACCTGGCCCTGGCCAGGGCCCTGCGCTTGTCGTGAAGGCCGCACCACCTCCTGACGGTTTCTTCCGAACTTCTAGGAATGCATCGCATGGCACATGATCGTATCAGCCACCCCCCCCCAAAACCTCCTTGAATATGGTGCTTCTTGCACAGCCCCGAAATTGAACAGCCACATCCTGTTTCCAAAGTCCTGCGGCTCTGGTTCCCAAGGCGGTAGGACCGGTAGGCCTTTTCGCTCCTGCCAGCAGTACAAGTCTGTGACTCTCACGACGGCTTGCCTTCTGAATCTGATTTTCCTTGATTCGTGGAAAATGGAATCCACCTGGCCGCCTCGTGCTATTTGAAGGGGCAACAATGATTTGACGTCGTTCGAAACACAGAGTCTCCTGATGCCTTCTGAACTTCTGACATGCGCTGGCCACAGGGCTGTCAGGGGCCCGTATGTGGCTCAAGTTCCTTGGACAAATCACCTGGCAGAACTGGACAGGCGGTTCTCGGCCCTGAGCAATACACTGGGGTTACAAGCTCGGGCGCGACCCGCCCAAGCTCAACCTGAATTGAGATGCTGGGACCTTCCCCTTTTGAAAACCCTTATAGTCTAAGTTCCACAATCACCGGGAGCCATTCTAATGATTCTAATGTATCTTGTAGACCTCAGAGCAAGCGAATGCAGCAGTTAGCATCTCCATTTCACTTGTGCCGCCGCTTGCTTCTCCGCGCGGCCTTTTTAGGCCGCTGCTTGGAAAGCCTGTGCCTCCGTTCCCTCTCATGATCCACTGCCTGTGGCAGGTACACGTTGAAGTAGAAGCGCCTGAACCACCCATGCAGGTGTGGTGTTGACTGCACAACCATCAGATTTTGAGTCTGAGCCTTAACCAGCCTCTGAGCCTCCGATACAAGAAGCCCCAAACAGCCTCCCCAGCATGCCAGGCCTCAAGGCAGGGAACATGGCCTTCTCCCAGAGCTCCTGGTCGAAGAACTCTCTGCGGCAGCGCTGCTCTGCCTTTGCTTCATGGTCTGCATACTGCACAGTCCATATGAAGCAGTAGCACAAGAGCGCTGCAGAAATGAAGTACGCAAGCAGAAGTATGCAAGTTGCCTCATCTGGTTGCCTGTGCAGTCAGCATGCATCTCATTGGGCTCCTTCGTGACCGTTGGGTTTAGCTGCAGCCGAGCCACAGGCGTCCAGAAGAAAATGTCGCACCAGGGAATATCAGTATCCAAGGCAGCAGCAGCTATGCGCATACCTTGGGCACCAGAACGCAGGAAGCAGAAGGGTCAGGACTGCTCACCAGGGGACAGCCATGAACTTGATATTTCCAATCCATCGGGAGCTCCTGTCTGCATGCTGGGCGACGGAAGTCTGAAATCTACAAACGCCACCTGGAGTACATAGTAGTTTCTCAAAATAGAGAAACTCCAACATAAATCCCAACATACTAGAATCCTTACTAGAAGGACCCCCAAAATGGTACCCTACTTTTAGGAAACCCCCATATGAGCTGCAATTTGATGTCAGATATCAGTCCATCAGGAAAACAGTTTGGCTTTGTTTGGCTTGGCAGGCTTCATCACAGCAGTTTGTGGCTTCTGCATGAGTTGGGGTCCTCGCTTTGGAAGAGTCCATTCCACTCCTTCGCAGTCTTGATCTCCAAAAGGCCCTTGACATGCAATGTCCAGGAAAAGGCTCTGTTCACATGAGACTATTTATCTGACACCTTTTGCTTTTAGCTGACTCAGCCCTGACACTGGATTTGGCTTCATTGATTAATATGGCGATGCTTAGGTGATAGCCGGAACACTCGGCAACTCCGGCATGCTGGCCGCCAAAAACATTTTGCAAACAACTTTATAGTAAGGACGTCTGAAAATTGCGCAGCATGCAGAATAGAACCGATGCAAGTTCACGCAAGTTTTCAGCAAGTCTGTCCGGGCACCTCGGGCTTCCCCTCGAGGACACAAAGTCCATCCGGGGAACCGGCCAGCCATGGCTCATCCAGCCAAACACAAAGGCCTGGTGCTCTGTGGTAGCAGCCAGCGAAAGAAAAATGAGATGTGTAAGGAGCACAAAGCAAAGGGGATCTACATGTAGTGAGTCGGAAGCAGCAAATCCCCACCCAGGCAATATGCACAGGAAGTTCTAAAAGCCACGTCTAGCAGACCCGGAGACATGAAAAGCCATCCCCCGGTGCGCCTAAGGCCTCGACCAGGAGGTCCAGCTCACCCAAAGACTTCTTTAGCGCTTCCTGAGCGGAGGTTGTGTTTGTATTGTAACCCGTTACAGTCCTAGCATAGTGGAGCTCGAGCAAGGGAGTACTACGAGTAGTTGTGCAGTATAGTTGTCGCAACAGAATCGGGACGAGGCGCAGTGAGCCTCACAGACTAGAAGCTAATGCGTTTTCATGAGCCCAGGGTTGGGTGGGACCCTCTGACTTCCATTGATGTGCAATTGCCGCCGAGCAACTTCCCGTCGCCAAGCAATGTAGGCCTGGATTGTGCAAAGGAAAATTTGCAGTCTCAGACCTGCGTAGAGCCTGTGCTTATAGCCTGATATCCCTGCGTCAGCAGCAAGACTCTTCTTACCATCGCGAGGCCAGCCACATTTGGGCTGCTCATGCTCGAAAATCCATGCATAGCATCGCATATTCTCGCAATCGTTCCTAGGCCTGAATCGAAGCTTTTGCATAATAATAGAGACCGAAACCCAAGCGGCCTCCCGCGCCACATCTTCATGTTGGACGCCAAAGCCTCGTGTGAGCGCCCAGGTGTCAGGATGACAACACAAGGGATGGTAAGGATTAATTAGGGTCCTACTATATTCCGACTATCCCCACTATTACAGGGTGGGGGGTCCTCCTAACCCATGCGTATCGATGTTTGGGTTCGGGGCTCAGGCTGTCAAAAAGAGGGTCTGTGGTGTGTGATGGAGGGAAAAGATCTTGCCGATCATTCTCCCATGTGATCCCAATCAATCCCTATATAACCCCATATATAACCCTATATCTTCCCCATATAACCCTCGATAATTGATCCCCATATCACACTATATAGTCCCCATATAACCCTCTATAGACTTAATACCCAGCTCTATACAACAGCAAACTCAACACAGACCAAGAAGCGCAAGGCCTGGTTAGCCTTGGCTTCGGGCAGGGCGAGCCTGGACACAAAGTTTCTATACAGGGTTACATGAGACATGAGGATTTTATAGGAATTTTATAGAGTTCTATAAGGCTATGCGGGGTTTATCGGGTTATTTAGGCTTGTATGGGGATCATGTAGGATTATCATGAAGGAACCCTACATCATGTACTATTATGCACGCATATTATAATGGCTTGCTTTAACTTGCTTGAGAGTATAGGGGTTCGCAATCTGGCTTGAGGCTGAACAAGCAGGATTCCGTGGCAAAGCTGCTTTAGCAGAAAGAGTTTGACACCAATGGGATTCCTCAAAAACGGCGACCGCCCAAAAAAAGAAACAGAAACAAACACACCAAAAAAAGAAGGGGATCTAGCGGGGCCACCAGGAAATCACGTTCACGGGGTCAGCCTCAGCCTGTTTCGGGTGGTATCCTGAGAAGCGCTGACAAAGAAGAGCAGGTGTGAAAGGAGCAGGACTCCCTCGAGAGCTGGCCATGCCGAACACGGAAAGCGCAACTCTTCAATTCTTAATCCGAGCACTAATAAACGGGACCATATTTGAAGATTTTTTTTCGGCAAAATTAGCCGCCAAAGACTACTTTCAATTAGGTGGAATTTCGTATGGGGAANNGAAAAGGGACTAGATTTAAAGAATGTTTTTGTGGGACCGATCAGGAAAATCGAGATATTCAATGCATTCCTATTCATGTTTTAATTGGCAAAGGTCCAAGAGCCCCCATGACGCGGGAATGCATTCCTATTATTTTTTAAATTGAAATCCAGGAGCCCCAATCATTCTTTTAATCTGGCGCCCTCCATTTCTTATTCGGGGGGGCAAATTAAACAAGTGCTAGGATTAATTACTTGCATACTAGCACGCGCGTGGCCAACAGCTCACCCTAAAGGAAGCAAAGGAACTTTCGATTTTTCGTGGTTACCCATGTGCCACATCAACAGCGACATCTAAAGTAACAAGCGCTAATCATGCACCGGCTCGTAGGAGCGAACCATAGCGAACCTAGCTAACATACCATCTTGTTGTACACGCCAACTTTGGCACGTTCACATACTTAGCTACAAAAATAAGTAACGTGACCATAGTCTATATGACATCCTGAATGCAGAACCTTGAAAGTTGTTTCGACGCACAGAACTGTGTCCGAAAGCGGCATGTATGACTACAAGTCACAACACGCACAAAAGGTTAAATCCTAAATCCTGCACCCCGTGAAGCAGGTTAGACCGAAACTTTGCTGATTTCAAAGATCCGAGCTGTTCAAAACCCAAATCACCACATCCTGAATATCCTGAAGCCGGGAAATCCTAGCTTAGTGCACCAAATCCGTGCGCTCCTCGCTCCCGAGCATCATGCCAGCTACAAAAGCCTTCAGCTTCTTAAACCTTCAAATCTAAACCCTAAACTCCAAATCCCCTTCTGAGCCACATGTCGGCCACCACCACCTTTCGATTGCTTTTTGCACCAGGCGCTGAGCAGGCTGCAGCGAAGCGCGAGGCTGTCACCTGGGGGGGGGATTCCAAATGAAGGGAGTAACAAAGGCAGAAACAAATCCATATGTGGCTAAACATGTATATCTACATGTGAATATATATGTATATGCACACATGCACTTGCACAAAAAGGGTTAGGGCTTCGAATTTCTTAGGATAGGGGATGGTATAGGAAGTATTTACGGGATTATGAAGGCTGATTAGGACTATGAAGAATGTGTTGAGCAAGTCTGGAACTTTGGGTTGTTTCTGTGGTTGTCAAATTGGGCTTGGGCGTCCCAATCTGGGGGCTTTACGAGGATCACATTGAATACACAGGGTATATGGGGATGCAGCAGACATGTAGGCGAATTTCGGTTCATTAGCATCCCTTCCTGGGGCCCACATGGAGAGCGACGTATGCAGCATGGAATTGCCCATTACTTCGACAATTCGCAAGACGGCATCGTCAGGCATTGAGGGCAGTCATATACATAATACATACAAGAATGAGTCGGAATAAGAACGCAAAAAAGAAACAACAGTGGTGATGACGACGATGACGATGATGATGATGGTGATGATGACCATGATGGCTGGTACTATAAAGGAACCACCAACAACAGCCATGGAAAGGCGTAGTCTTCTTGAGCCTTTTGGCGGCTTCTCGCGGTTCTCCCATTTTCAGGTTGAAGAATGGATTTTGCATGGTGTTGTGAGCGTTACCGCTTGCATATGGTCCCGTTCCGCAAGCGCACAACACTAAATGTTACGTAGGACTAGGACCGCTCAATTGATGTCGAGGAAGAGTCAATCGGTCTTCTTGCTGCAGAGGACATGGAGTCGTATCACTCCTCTGCGGCGCCCAAACTTTTATCTCCAGCATTTGTAATGTAGTTGAGACGGAATATGATCGGGAAAGAATTCTTCCTAAATCACTTCACACACTGCAAGGGCAGCAACACACAGAATTTTGCCGACTAGGCGACTAGGCACGCGATTTCTCCGCGCAGCTATCCAGGACGGGTGTGCTCGGCCATCGGGATAGCGCTGAGGCAGTTTCCTTGGCTTCGCGCATGATGCAGATTTTGCCAGCTCCAACAAGGACATTATCCACTGCTTGCTGTTGCACACAGGAGGTACACAAAGGTGAGGTTTGGGAGCTGGTACTTCAGAAGTTCTGGCAATGTGTCGTCAGCCCCGCCACCAAAGTCCGATGAAAACGTCTGTGAATCCTTCAAGCACCGTGAACCGCGCTTTATGGCCGCGGAGCCAAGGGGTCTCCGCCCGAGTATTACAGAAGTTTTCAGCCAAATGCGCTAGTGTGAGAAAAACAACATACTGGGCTTCCACGATTAGCTATGAGCCTTTGGGATTTTTGTCACCCAAACTTGTGCGCAGGCAAGCAACTGAAGGCATGGTAGGTACTTGTAGCACCTAGGAAATTAAGGAGGTTGATCGAGCACAGGCCGACGTGCTGAATCTTATCAGTACCAGGTGCTGCACAACCTGCCCAGCTGCAGCTGGATGAAACCAAGCATGTCCCATGGATTCTTGCGCCTTGAGGTCATGCTGCGCAAAAGCTACTCCGGCTGAAATTACAAGCCAGGGGCCAAAAAAGGGCCATGCTCAAAGCCACAGGGGACAAAGTCAGCGGGGCCAGCTGGGTCCCCACGAGGCAAGCTAGACTGCCCGCCAAGATGCAGAAGAACCTCATTGCCAAACCTGACGACTTTGCAGTTGACGCTGGCTGAGCCTTCGCAGGGCTTTGCTGAGCGTCCCATCTTCATGAGGGACCGGCCTGATTCCACCTCGGCCATCTATCCAACACATTGCTTCGGTAGCGGCAGTTGGGGAAGGACCGGTGTCCTTTCGTCTCGGGTTGCTTGTTACTGTTGGGAATGCCGGCTGCTATCCACGCACGCTGTGCGCCCGAGAACGTCGCCGGCTGTTTCAGGGGTTCTGTCCTCTCCTTCTCATCCACAGCCCATACGCGAAGAAGCTCCAAGAAAGAAACCTCGGAGCGGCTGTGTGCTGTCAGGCCAGCGTCGAACAGGCCGCTGGCTTTGGGATAGCCCTTGGTGCTGTTCGGGAGGGGCTCTTCAGCAGTTGTGATGGCAAAGGTGCAGTTGATGTTGCATGCTGGAGGGATTTCAGCATGCTCCTGCAAGAGCTTTATCTTCCTGGGCGGCATGAGCCCAGCATCCAGCAACCACTTCCCACACCGTAGCAGCGGATCGCGATCTGGGATGCATCCCGGGGCGAGGGGGTGGAGCCCACCTTTCCACATCACGTGTCCATCCCCTTCCTGGACCGGCCGATGCTTGACCGTGGCTCCTTTTTGAGCTAGGACGTAAACTGCAAGCTGGATTGGCAGGAAGACCTGGACTCCATAGATTGCCGAGAAAATGTCTGTTGGTTTTGCTGTGAGACACAGTCTCAGTATGCGGGCTGCGCCGCGGCGATTGTCCAGGCCGTGCTCTGTTTCCAGCGCGTCTAACAACTCAAGGGAGGCATCCACGAGGAGATGGAACCAAGTGCTCCATTGAGCAAACCGCTGCGCATAGGAGATGTGATCAGGTGGATACTCTTTCAAGCAACTGAAAAATGACTCAGCAGATCTGCAAGCCCCACCATGGGTGCCAGGGAATGCTTCAGGAAGCCTGCCAGGTTGAGCGTCTGCATCCTGTACAAGAAGGAGGCTGCAGCAGAGTGGCGGTGAAGACCGGCCCATCTGCCAGAAAACTCCAAGTGGAAGCAGGCCGCTTCGCCATCCAGGGCAAGGCCAGCAAGGGAAGAGGCGAGGTCTTCAGTTATTTTCGCTTCCCCGTCGACTTGGCAGGTGTGGCCCCAATCAGCAAAGGTCTCCGCCGCAGTCTCTGCCAAGTCTTCTGTAAACACGGTGCCTCCTGTGGCAGTGGGCAGGGGCTGAGGGATCGCTGAGACTGGAGTGCTGGGTTTCACATCTTCGAACCATTTCCACAGCTCCTTGGCAGCATCTGGCACTTCTCCGGGCGCGCTTGCTGCGTCCTCATCCCGATCATGTCCCATTGTACTGATAGAGATCTTTCTAATGATGCCGAAGCTTGGATGCTGAAGCTCGAGCCTGCACACTGCACACCTTGGGTGGGAGACTGGTTGCCTCACGCCCGCACCATCTGAAGACTTGCATGACCAAAATGCCTGCAATTAAATTGCAAGCCCAGAATATGTGTTTGGAGAGGGATGCGTTGCATCATTATCTGAATGTTCCTGTTGCATGCTGGGACCAAGGCTCAAGAGCCTGCCAACCTCCTGCTCCGAAACTTGGAGGCTGGAGAGCAGCTGCTCCCTCACGTGCGCAGGGGTGGTGTCCAGCTCCTTACAGTTGGCCCTGCTGTCACAGGGGCAGGCAGGCATTAACCAGCTAAAGAAGCGGGTCGGAGCCTACGGCTTGCAGAAGCCCAGGAAGATTTCTGAGGATTTGCTGAGAGATTCCGTCGCAGATGTCGTGGGCACAACGCTCTGTTTCAAGACAGCATACTGATGCTGCGATTCAAACAAACCTCCCAGGAGCATAAGTTATTCATCCATGGCGCATCCACCTCTTCACCACAAGGTTGGCCCTCTACCTCGCCGGGCTCATCCTGCACAATGTACAGCCAAATGTGAGGAGGTGGTTCAGAGGGAAGCTCGCCCTGCGCTGCTTCCAGCTTGTCTCAAGTTCCCAGTATGGGCCCTTGATGTGGCCCTCAACCCTGGAGTCTTCCCTTCCCTAGGCACCTATAGGAGCCAACAGTGCCAATCTTTGAACAGTCTCCTCAGCGAGGGAGAGCCGGCCGCCCATGTCACTCATGGAAGGATGGGTCCGCCAGAATTTCAGACTCCAAACTTGTGGCTTGTGGGCAGATTCTGGTCATTACTGTAGACTGTAGGCTTCATTTGGGTCTTCTGCTTCAAGATGAGATGCATGTGGCTCTCTAGCATGTGCAATTGCACAACTGTGGCTGCAAGCCTTTGAACATACTTAGTGTCCAAACAGGCTTCGTGGCTCATGTTGGAAGCACCGGTTGGTAGCGTGAGGGGACGTGGACAAAGCTATTTGCAGTTTCCAGCCTCTGGGTTTTCACCTCACACTGACTCATGATTGCAGCATGAGTCTGCCATGGCTAGCAGACGTGGGTCTGGATGGCTGCGCTTGGCTCTGCCATCGCTTTCCAAATGAGGACGCCCAATCTCGGCAAGGCTTGACTCCCTTACCATCCCTTATCCAGAAACTCCATGGTGTCATCTTCAGCAGAATCTACACTTCCATCCGGCTCTACACCTCTTGCCTTCCATGTGAAATCGTGTAGCCTTTCCAAAAGATTCAGATGGCATGCGACGCCGTAGAGTGCTTCGCTACATGGAGAAATCTCAGTCTCAGCTAGCCCCGTGTCCCGGTAGGCGATGATCTGCGCCCGTAAGGCGTGGTTCGGCCGCAAGACCTGTGAACAAGCAGCAAGTAGATTGCTTGGCCAAGGAAGGCTGCTTCGATTTACCCGTGGCCTTGTCAGGCAGTTCCTGGCCGGTCTTGGGCGAAGTGCTGTGCTCCTCTCACCGGCAGCAAGTTCAAGAAGGGCAGAGGCCAGTAGGCAAGCTGTGGGAATGTCCTCCAGCCACTTGGCAATCGCACTGCGCTCGTATGTGTGACCTGCCCCACACAGCCAACACATACAACTCACCAAAAGCTGGTCCGGCACGACTTGCTCAGCAAGAATGGCAGCAAGCCCAGCAATCAAAGATGTAACAGTGCCCGTTCACACCAGCAGCTGTGGTTGACCAAGACGACCGGACACGCAACACGGCGTGTCACTAAAACGGTGACATACCTCTTGATCACATTGCTACACATGTCAGCACACAAAGTCTAGAACATCGCATGCAACGACAACACAGGATAACGTCTCCTACCCAGGTAGCGTCGGTAGAAGCGTGCGACAAACTGCTATTGAACTGCTATTGCCTACCAGAACCAAATATCACCAGATGGGGCACATATCCTGCAGCATCTCCCAAGATCAACCTAATCAACCAGCTCAGGCATGGACCGTCCGAGGTGATCACAGGTCGCTCCATGAGGTCCCTGTTGTCGGGGAGAGTTAAACTCTTTGGAGGGTACAAATACAGTGGGGCTGAGGCTTCTGAACATCAGAATGTTTGAAGATCAATGAAGGCTTGGGTCTTTCGCGCTTCGTGGTATACGTGTGTACAGGGAAAAGGAGAAGCAAAGGGTGTTGTAGGATGCCCACCACATCCTAACCAATCGCGTCGTTGCATGGAGAGTAAATGGCAAAGCGGGCTGGGGGGCCGTTGCTAATCATGAAGCCGTGTATGCAGGGCGGTCTTCAGCAAGTCCCATACTCTGCTAATTTGCGAAGGACATGGCCGTCCAAACGACTATGTCCTAACTTACCCTGCCGCAGCCACTTCCTATGGCAGCATGGGTCGATCACCGGCAGCCTTGACTCTTGAGCTGATCTGAGAAAACAGATTTCAATGACCGTCATGCCATGTAGCTCCCTAAGCCAGCTGCTGAGTCTAGAAGTAACATGCCACTCGTGTAGTGCCATGCCAACACCCAGCCCGCACCGGCACAAAACTCTGTGCACTCATGCCAGGGCTTCACGGACCTGGTGATCACGCAACGGAACTCCTCGGGAACGTCGGACCTCAATGCCAAACGGCTCATGCACGCTTCCCACACCTTTAACCATGCGCTTATTCTCACGGACACTGTGACTGCATGTCGGATAACGGCATCACAAGTGGGAGCAGCCGAAAGACCACTGTCACGATCATTGACAGAAACTGCTGGATTTCCATCTAGTTGCCACTCCCCTGCTGCCAAGAGATCCAAACTACTACCTAAACCCCAAAAGTATGTGAAATAATAGCCCTGAACCCATAATAACAGCCATAAAGGCCATTATCTTACATACTTTTGGGGTCCTAAACCCTATATAACCCCATTATAATTATAGTAGTTTCCATTTTCTTTTCCATTATTTTACATACTTTTGGGGTCCAAAGTAATCCCCTCTGAGGTCGTAGCTCCGGCATGGCAGCGGAGGAAGAAGCCGAGCTCGAAGTTTCGGGCTCCAACCTTGGCGCCCCAACCCGGAAGCTCATCAGGTTTAGGGTTTAGGGTTTAGGGTTCAGGGTTTAGGGTTTAGGGCTCATGCATCATACATTTCCTAGGTGAGCTATAGTCTAAACTCCTTAAAGGGGGTTATATATAAGGGATTATATAGGGGACTACTATAGGTAGGGGTTATTAAGGGGGACACCAGGAGTTTAGACAGTAGCTCAGGTGAGTTTAAGACTTCTATGGCTTGCGAGCAAGTAGTCGGTTTATGTAGGGGCCTAAATCACTATCACTGCACAGGGATGACGGGAAGATACAATTCCAATTGCTCAGGCATCTACATAGCAGGTTAAGATCGGACAGAAAGAAACAGCCCTTCAGTGTCCCACAGATAAGTGCTGTCAGCCCTGGGTGTCATTGGGACTCCAGCGTAACGTGTTCTGGTCGGACTCGAATGGTGCCCTTGCCGTCCTTGGAGACTCTTGGCTGGCAATTCTTGGGCCGGTTTATGTCACTTGGCTCCCTTCCATGATCTAATGCTTACCAAGGAGGGGCTTGAGGTTCCGCATTCTTTCAACAGTTGCATAGCTACACTGGCGACTTTAATCTCTCAGCATTACAGTGCACGCTGCCCTTCTCTGCTCAGAATGTGACCTGCCCAAACCTGAAGTTTGATCGCACAAATCTTGTTAACACGGCCTATTGGTAGGACAAGCCGCCTCAACTTTGTAAAGTGACACGTTGGCGGGGCATCGAGATGCCTTCTTCGTATACGGTGCTGACATTAAGTTTTCTGTGCTGTCGGCGTGCGTCGTCATGCATAGGCCCTGCTTCATCTTGGTTTGTGGGCGTGAAGAAGAAGAGCGGGCGTAAAAGCCCAGGACCCCTGGCTTCTGGATAATCTGCCGTGCGAACAGGGCCCTGAGTTCGAAGCTGCAAGAGCCAGCTCCCATCGACCGTGTGCCGCGTCAAAGGCCTCAGACCGAAGTGCACATGCACCCGGAATGTGACAAATGATGACTAGAATGAGGAGACTCGTTGTATAACTTGTTGTACAAAGCCCTGCGCATGTTGCCCATGCGGCTTCTCACGCACAGCCACTCGGGCGTCGAACGCCATGGATTTGCACTCCAGTCTAGGAACATGTGGAAAGGAGAGCTTGCAGTGTCTACGCCCTCCCTATTTTGTCAATGGAGCAGTTGAACTCACATATTGCTCCTGTTTTTGGTTCACCATGCACAGATTCCATGTATGCTTCCACGGTTTCTGTCTAGGCTCATGCTGTGGCTCTGGAGGCCTGAAGCGTCTCAAAGTTCCACACGGGGTTTCCCAAATTGGGGGTACCATCTTCGGGGTACCCATAATGGGGATTAGAGCCTTTCAAGGTCTATATTTGGGTCCCCTATTTAGGGATACCACCACATACTCCTACCTGATGACAGCATGCGGTTCTCCTTTTGGCCCAGCCTCATGGGGGAGCCGCTGCAGGAGAATCAAACCCGTTGGGGCGGGCAAGCATAGGTTGTTTATAACCATGGGCGAAACAGTCTTTGTTGGTGCGTACTTGGGATTGCTCCTGAAATCTCCCAGATGCTGGTCTGGCATCATTCTGTACAGGACACGGGCTTTGTCAAACACTGTGCTGCCACATAATCACCCCGACAGCAGCACAGTCTAGCAACACATGCTTCTACACCTCGTCGCCACATCTGTGCGAGTGGGCTAGGTTTTGCACAAGCCCTCTCAGCACACTCCCTTTGGGATTGCAGCGGCATCCACTACTCACTACTCACGAGCATGGGACAAAGACTCCGAGCTCAGGTACTGGCAGCCGAGCCTTCAACAAAGTCTGCCAGCAAGCTTTGAAGAGGCTAGGGGGTGCAGGCGAGTCAATTTGAGAGATAAACATGCCCGGCTCTGTCTTGCAGCTGTACCTAGGTTATCTCTGCTTGTCTGCAGGTGGCCGAACTCATGAAACGTCTTAGCCTCTCTTAGCCTTGTCTCCCCCCATTACCGCCAGGATTGTGGAGACACGCTGCCTAGGCCACGTCCTGCGGATCCTGCCGCGCTCGCTTTTTGGATTCCTCAGCAGTCGGGGGCTTTCCAGGTTTGGAGCATCACCAACGAGCGAGGGATAACATGCAGCTGACCATAAGTATCAGGGACATAGGCCGAATGTTGCATATCTTCCGCTGCCTCGTAATTCGGTTAAACTGGGGCCTCTCTGTAACCGCCCACACCGTCTTGACCGTTCAGACAAGATGTCAACGCCCCAAAGATCCCTGCTTGTCAGAGATGGGCTCCACTTCTGCATGGATGCGAGTCAGGGTTTAAACTAACGAAAAATACCGGAGGTGGCCAGAATTTCCTATTACGTCGGCAGCTGTGTTCTCGCCGTGGCGCGTAGGCCTCCACCACCTGAGACAAGCTCAGTGTAGGCTGCCCAACAAGCTGTAGCCAAGAGCTGTTATAGAAGTCCAATTGCATTACATAAGTGTGAGCATCGCTGAACACATGGCATGCCAAACCCAACAGCACATGGCAAACACCGAAAACATCAGACCTTGCAACTTTCCACACGTGACACCACATCGAGTGAATCTCCTGGAGACACCGTCGGGTGGAAAGCCAATGCGCCTGATTGGCATCATACTCCTCGGCTTTCAAGGCCTGGCACGGGCTCAGGCATCAGCTTTCATCGTGGCTGGCCAGGGGTTGGGGCATGGGCTTTATGCTCAGCCCCTGACACGGCACATCTAGCCAGGGCGATCAAATTTGTTCTGGAGCCTTGTGTTGCCACCACCTCAGGTACTCCTACCAAGGACTGCAAATTGAAGTCACCAGTCACACACATTAGCAGTTATCAATAAGCGAGAGGGTCGCACACCTTTAGCCCTTGCTCTTGACCGAACCTGTCTACTCCAAACTGAGCTACCACTGACGTTAACAAACGCATCCTTGCCACCTTCTCACTTCGTGAAAGTCTCTAGCCCAACTGCGGTCGCTATGATAAGGACCTTGGCTGAGCGACCCTTTTTCTAACCAGAACCTGCGAACCCTCAGATACAATCGCAGCACTGCCGAATAGCACCCACTCATAGGGACTTGCTTTTGGACATGCGGTGAAAATCTCCGTCCATGCCTCCACGCCTGGACGCTAAAATCCCTGGCGGGCCTTGAGGGCTGCAATGGCCTTCTGCCGCTCTGCAGCAGAGGCTTGCTCTGCTGACTTGGCGAACTTCAGCGCATCTTTAAGGCCTTCCTTAGGGCACAAGGATGATGTTGCTGACAAAGATGGTCATGAGCCAGTCTCAAAACTTTTACTTTTGTGCGACTTCAGAAAGTTTCTCACCAGCTTAAGGCCCTCTTGATATTTTTAGGCCTTGTTTACAGTTTGGGGCCTGGCTGCCCTTCTCAGGCAGAGGAAGTGGGCTTGGGAAGTATGTTGTAAGCCAGTATCAGTGGCCTGCTTGAGCTGCTGCTGCGCTGCTTAAGCTACTCGTCTGTTAATTCCCCCAGGACATCGACGGCAAAAGAAAGCTTCATGCCGGCAAAAGGCATCAGCATTGGCATAGTGCTTGTACAGAGATGTCCTCAGAACGAGGCTTTTCAGATCTTTGTGACCCGCATTTTGCGGGCATAGGGCATAGAACGGAGACAAGATGCACGCGCAGCATGCTATGTGCAAGTTGTCTAAGAGCTACTAGGCTCCTAGGCAAAACCCGCTCAATGCCCGAATCTCTGAGCAAACTTTGGCATGCTCTTGACCAGGACCAACGATCTTATCCTCTGGAGTGCTGCCCGTGACACCTTTCCGCAGTTGCTTCCTTCTCTGCTAGGCGAGCAGATTTGAGGCACTGCTTTGCATCGCCTCAGCAGGAAGCTTAAGGAAAGACGTGCCAGGCAAGCAACTGGCAGGCAGTTTTTTTGACCAAGGAAATGGTAGCTTGCAAAATCCATCTGCTTGCCGTAAACAGCTGTAAGCAGCTTCACCAATTTAGTTAACAGTCCTGCATATGCTGGAACAAACTTCTGCAATCAAGGAGCTGATGGCTGCCTTGCAATCATCACGGAGGCGTTTCCTGGGACATCGCAGCAAAGACACCCCATGAGAGAAGAATTTGTGACGAAGGGTAACTAGGCAAAGAGGAAATGCGACTCCGAACCATTCTGTCTTTAAGCAGGCATCCCCTGCACGAGCACAATGGTGCAATTTCAGCGTCCCTCCAAACCATTCTTTAAGCAGGCCATGTCGCAGCGCAGATTTTGTTTAGGCACCGACATCTTACTTAGCCACTGCTCAGCAAGCCCGTTAATCCGCAGCCACGGTCGCTGCTGGCGCTCGCGGCCCTCTGCCTCAGCCACCGCCGCCTGTGCGGCTTGCAGCGCCGCCTTGACGCAGACTGCCGCAAAGCAACTTGCACTTTTTGTGACGAACTGCGGGGGGGGGGGCACAGGAGTGACAACCAGGCAAGGTTATGGCCATCTTCGAAACGCATTTTTGGTTGTACGCAAGCCGTGGCTGTTTGTCAGCACAGGGGAGGGCCAAAGGAAGGGTTCCTGGGGATTTTGGGGAATGCGCTGCATGGGCTGTTATCAAAAACTTCCAAGTCAGTGTGTCTGAAAAGCATGCACTTGCTAGTCTGCATTCCTGTGTAGGGTTAGATGGCTGGACCATTGATTCGGCAAAAACGGAGTGCACACGGAGCCTGACAATTCAGGGCGGGGCACCATTCTCATTTTGCCGGGTGCAGCGCACACCCATACGAATATTTCCGCAACACTGAGACCACCAATCAAGTTGAAGAGCTACAAGGCTGTATCCTGCTTCGGTGTTGCACGTGTACGATTATCATTCGTTGACTCGTGCTCCTGCGCTGTGGGTGGTCTAGTTGCGTGGTGTATGTTTCTCTGTTGTCGCACCATTTCGCTTGCTCGCGGAGCCCGGGTTTCTATACTGGACCCGTTTGCCTACTGCAACGAGCATCTTGGTTTCGGATGGGGCTCGCGTTCTGTGCCTGTAAGTGTGGAACGTCCTGAAAACAAGACCCCAACCATCGTCAGCTTTCTGAGGTGAAACCAATTTTGCTGCCAACTCTTGAAAAATGTTAGAAAGAATCTGGACAAACTGCTTTTGGTCCTCAAGTCTCTTGGCTACATATTGCTATGCTCCACTTGGAACCAAATTGCAGGTATTCAAGCCCCAACATGATAGTCTTCGTGTACGTCTGTGGGCGCTTCTCAAGAAATAGGCTCTCCTCACGTGGCACATATACAAATCCAACATCTTAACATGTTGCAAAAATGGCATTATCCCTATATAAACCCTATATACTATAGTAGTTTCCGTTTTCTGTTCCATTATCCCTATATAACCCCCATATGATCCCTATATAATCCCTATATAATCCCTATAATTTCTGTAGTTTCCATTTTCTTTTCCATTATCCCTATATAACCCATAATTTTCTTGTTCTGTTCCATTCACCGAATGCAAAACGCCTCATCTTCCGCTGTCCGAGCTCGGCAGGCCTTGCTAGGCGGGCACATTACGTCACACGACCGTCATACATGATAGCAACCATAGTTTAGGCTTTAGGGGTTTTGGGTTGAGGGGTTTGGGCATAAAGCTGTAACCTGCTTGTAAGTTGAGTGCTTTTCGACCTAGGGCAGTGTCTCTCTCCCGCACGGAAACTGCCATGTTCTTGCAGTTCGTTTTGGCAGCCAATCGAAGCATCTCATTTCCAAGAATAGGGGGTCCTTACATGCTATAACCCTGAAATACAGGGAGCCTCAACAACACGGACCCCTTGTATTTGGAAACCATGATACTCTTGTCAAATTCACAGAGTTATATGGTAGTTTCCCAAAATCGGGGAACCCCAATATACTAATCCTTATTATAGGGGCCCCCCACAAGGTACCCCTAATTTTGGGAAACCCTCCTATTACAAAGTTGCATTCTCGGAGCTTTCCTTGCAAAGCTCCCAAGATGCGCTTGGAAAGCCACACCACGGTTTCCATTCTCCAGCAAATGGTCGATTGACGCTGGCAAAGAAACTGGAACATACTACATGATGGTATTCCCCATGAGGCTTTTCCATTCCCTTGTCCGTTAATGACGCAATACAAGGGGAAACTACTATTACCATGCATTCTCGTTTGCACATTCCCGCCGGCCTCCAGGTGTTGTGTCACCTTGGCATACTGCTTCTGCACCACTGCATGTCCTGAGTTACTGGGCTTGGCATTCACATCGTCGACCATCTCGAGAAGCTTTTCTCATGGCTTGGGAGAATAGCGTGAGGCATCAGAGGTTGAAAAGCAAGCAGCTCTCCGGTATGAAGGAGGAAGTCTGCACCTCTATGCGCCTCTCTTAGAGCTCCTGAAAACAATTCCGATAGTCAGGACCACGCTTGGCCCCTTATAATGCCTGTACAACCCTAGAGTCCTACGGAAGCCTGCATTCTTGACCTTGAGCAACTCGCCTATCAGCTCCCCATACATCCCTACATTTCTTAGTTTCTGCGTTCTTTTCCATTTGAATCTCCATCACCGCTGTACTATCCCTCTTAAAATGCGCCTCTATAGGTTGAGGACGGGGTGCTGGCAGCGTCTTCACGCGCCTTGCTGTTGGAACCCAACCTTCGATTGAGAAAGCGGGGTTTTCATGAATTAGGGGTACCTTCCGTCTGCGCGTCCCCACAATAAGGATGATAGTATCTGATATTGGGGATTATTGGGGTCCATACTTAGATCCTCGTATTCATGAAACCCCCCAGCAGAGCTTCAACCAGACCTGCTATCACATCTGTTCAAACTATGAGCAAAAAGAGTTTGGCGCACAGGCACTTACCAATAAGGATGCCCACCAGCAATCACGTTTTTCGCCCACTTCATATCTCGAGCTTTTGACTCACCATTACGAGTACTAATCCAATGAAACCCGCTGTAGAGAATGCTTCCATCCGGCAAATAACAAGCAAGCATCACCTGCTCCGGATGGTGGATTCAACTGCCTTTTACCCCTCACGCCTGCAATTGCCAAATTCGCGGAACAAAGATCCCAACTCCCGAACTCCCCAGCCACTATGCTGGAAGCCTTAATCACGAGAACCCATGGACCTCCCTGTCATCCCTTTTGCGCCTGAGCTCGGCGCGATGGCCAGGAACGAGTGGCCACATATACCGGAGCTCATGCCCAAACCCTGTACACCCTAACCCTGATCCTGACCTCCACGCCTAAACCCTAAACTCTCATTCCCAAAACCAGTGCAGTCACAGAATTTTCCTCCCTAAGCCCTACAAACTCGCCTCGCCCTCCGCGCCCGGCGCTGCGCTGCAGCGCCGCGCGCCGCCACCTCCGTGGCAGCTCGGGCACCCCGCCAGGCCTGGACAATCATGGGCCAACGACGAGCCCCTCGTGTGTGGGCCCCCACTAAGGGCCTTATGAAGGGTAAGGGTGAACTCTCAAGGGCCTCGTAGAAGTGATAGGGATTAGCATATGGGGGGGACATATTAACGGTCCTGTTGCAAAATCAAGTGGTTGTTTTATGGGACGCTCCTGGGATATGAGGGGCTATACAGGGACGTATTGTGATAGGTAGGGTTTCAGGATGTGGGATTTCTCAGAGTCATGCTTTTCAGGATGGCTTCATCTATGGACTGTGGTGGTGCTTATAGATCTGGGGTTCGTAGGCTCCTCAGATAAGGATTACAAGGGGCGGTTTTGCGGACTCCAATTGGATGAATACACTGCTGGACTTGAGCTGGACCTACAGCTCTACGCATACATACGCCTAGGTCTAAGTTCCTACACGTTACCTAAACCCAAAACCCTATATAACCCATTATAGTAGTTTCCATTTTCTTGTCCATTATCCCTATACTACCCTAGTACAGTTATTCCTCCCCAAAGAAACCACGGAAAGTCCACCTCGGCGAGCTGTTTTCCGGCATCATCCAGAACCTGCGCGATTTCTTCCGACGGAAGTCTCCAAAACAATGTGGAGGGGACCCTAATTTATAAACCCAAAATACTAAAATCCTTGGTGTAAGGACATAGTCCACAAGGGACTGCTACATTTTGGAAACTCCCATCCGCGTGTTGCGTGACTAGAGCCATAGCTTTGGATATCCGGGCCTGGTGATTTTAAACTTCAGATTCCAAGTCCTAGCGAGTATTTCATCAGAACGGGAATCCCCCTATCTCTCGGCCCCACCATTTGCTACAGCCGGGCGCGCTGATGTTCTGGGCTTGTCACATTTGCAGGATTTTGAGCTTGGGGCAAACTGGGGGCTCAATTCGGCGGACGCACAAATTCCAATCTATCTGTGACACTCGTAACTACTCGCGGCTGAGGATAGATTACACATGTTTTTTCAAATGCTCTGATGCGAACTTAATATAACTCCTTATAGCAGTTTCAATTTTTCTTCCATTATCCCCGTACAACCCGAATAAAACCCTAATATCACCCCAATGTCCCCTATGTAACCCCATTAATTGGTGTTAGTGTCTCAAGGCTTCACTGCGAAGGATCCCAGCATTGCGGAGACAGCAGCGGTGCATCTTTCCCTGTCCCCAAAAAGATGCCAAGGCCGCAAAGCAGCACCTTTGGAACAACCTCCCTTTCCAACCCTGGGGTCTGGGCTAAACTCCTAGTATCCCCCCGAATATTGGGGAATCAAATGGACAAGAACATGAAAAATGAAATGGAAACTGCTAAATTTTATAGGGTTATGTCGGAATACTGAATCCGCCTTCTAGGACCTTTATACATTAAGGTGGTGATTGTCTCCAGCCTTGGCATGAGCCTGTGTAGCTTCCCCACTCCTAATGGACTGCAACAAGAAGTCGGGATTGAAGCTGTTGCATTGTTTCTGATATCACCACGCTTGAGACATCTTGAGACTATTAGTGGCGGCTTTACAGAAAGTCACTCTGCAATCCTGTTATGCCACTATGACTGGTTGATGTGAGCTGAGGTCTTTCAAGTTGCAAGCCAGACTCAGGCCATGCAAGGCTGATGTCACCGAGTTCAGGGTGTCGCGGAGATCGGCCACTGCCTGTGGGATGACGTGGGGGTGACCTTTTGAGACTCACGACTCAATCAAAGCGAGTACTTTACATATACATGCGCATGCAAAGCGTGCATGTGCATGCGTGCATGTGACAGCATGCGTATGAGCATGTGTATGTGTAAATGCATGTGTATGGGCATGTGCATGTGTATTCATGCATGTATGCATGTATGTATGATGCATGCGATTGTATGTACGTGAATGCATGCAGGTAAATGTGACGGTATATGTAAAAACAACTATGGGTATGCTGACATGAGCATATGGATGCTGAAATAGGCTCCAAGGAAGTGGAGCGCTGCCCTAGTCCCTCAAACCTCCCCAAAATGGGCCTGATTTAGGCGCTCCACAGCACGGGAGCCAGAGACAGAGATTTTGGCGACAGCCTGCATGCGGGGGGAGTGCTTTGGAAAAAGAGGGGCGGAAGTGTCAGCAGAATCTGGCGTGCGCTGCACCAAAGCATCTACTACTCGCGATGCAACCCCAGTGTCATGCCCGCACATCCCAAAGAATCGCACTAAGAATTGGGATGTCTAAACACCAAAGCCGTAAACCTCTCCAGAAGGAAAGGGAGATCACATCCGCCCTGCTTCGGGATGACGGAAACCCCATGCTGTGTATACGTAGTTGCCCACACGATGGCCGCTTTGTCAAGGCCGTGTATTTCTAAGAATGCACCTAAGCACCGCATATAAACACCCGCGACCCCATGCTGTCATCAGCCCAAAACGGGAACTCAAAGCACAATTCTGCCTGATCTCCCGTATCATCATCATCTAAAAGAAGGTTCTGTGATTTACGCAGAGCATGGGAAGCTTTTTCTGATTAAAGCCCTCGTTGTTCTCCACACGGCCTTACAAAGGCCGAGCGGAGTTCGGCGAAACGATAGGGCCCTCAAGGGCATCCCGAGGGTGAATCAAATTTAGTCGCACTGGCGTCAGTTCCAGTCCAAAAGGGTACCCGTTAAGTGATTCCTCCGCTCAGTAATCCTGGTCTACCAGAAACATGGAGGGACATTAGAAAGTTACTGTTATCCCTTGTGATCACCAGATATGGGTCCCTGAGGTACCCCCTTATTTGAAAGCCCCTAAAACTCCAGCACAAATTTAATTTAGTCGGCGAATGACTTGTTAAGATGGTGAATAAGCAGTAGGGCTCACAGTGCAAACATGACCCACACTGGCATGCGGCAAGCTTGATCCTGAAGAATGTGCGAAGTGCGCCTTTTCTGCCGCTTGCTTCTCTTTCTCAGCTGCCCGCCGGTCCTAGGAACATTCACTGCAATTGGGTTTGCAACTGACTTTGCCAGTGGCTCGAAGGCCGCACCCCAAAGCAACTGCAATAACAATTCTTGGATACTGTACTGATTCATGCCAAGCCTCGAAAAATTGTGCTTTAAATGTCCTCAAGTAATGACAGAGATCACAGGAAACGCTGGACAGTACACCAAACGGTCAGGGAGCTTGAGCAAGGCCTCGTTCGACTATACTCATCCCTTTAAAGGCTATCACTCAGGTTTGATATTCCAAGTGGCTTTTTCTGCATGGAGCTAAGCAGAGATGTGTTCCTTCAAAAGGGAATGGGAACCTTTTCAGCAACTCCGACAGTGACCCCCAAATAGCAGTCCAAATCTCCTCCCATTTTAGGGAGCATTACTACTATTACCAATTAATATTATTATCACTCTTGTCACTATTCTTGTTGCTACCCAAACCCCAAAAGCATGTAAAATAATGGCCCTAAAGCCCCTAAAACAGCCAAAAAAGCCATAATGCTTTTCCGCTACTTCGTCGAGCCACCGCCTGCAGGCTTCGGAGCTGCGGCCCGCCGGGTGGTGCCAGGCCCTGCATGGCCAAGGCCATGTCTGCCTGATGCCTGGGTTCACCACACGTGAAGGTGTATACAGGGGTTATAGGGTATATATAAGAGCATAATATATAATAGGGATAATGGAAAGAAAATGGAAACTACGAGCAGGCTTCGCCATAGAAATGTCACATTTTTAATGGAAGTGGGTGAGACATGTAGGCCTCGGCAGTTGAATACGGCAGACTTTGACGCTTGGAGCTCACATTTGCGCAGGCCAAAATTTTGAATTGGGTCTCGGCTTGCTCCTTTTCTGCAAGCGATGTTCGCCTTGTTTTCCCTCTGCCGCTTTCAGAAACCTAGACTTGGGGCTTGGGAACGGCTGTTGGCATGTTGGCACCTTTTGTTCTGACGCGCTCTTAGCACACGATGACAGTTTCTGCACTCGTGTTGCCATGACTGCATGGCCAAACATTAAGTCTGCAGGCATTTCCGCGACCATGTATGTTAAAATCGCAGAACTCTTGTATATGCATTTTGCAGTTTGCCGCTTATACAGGATGAAGACAACGCACCACCTATGTGTTGAATCGGGCTCTTGGCATGGCGAAGCTACATATCTGAACGCCGGTCAAACTGAGCAAAGGTTGCTAGACTTGGCAAGGGCTCAGAAACGCAGCGCGCTCCAATGTCGTGGAAGCTCAGAACTACCTCCCCCTTGACAACACCAGAAACACTGGCTGATGACGCCAGTGCCGCAACCAAGCATGGTTAAACTCGAACTACCAGCCGCAGCACACCTGGGCACACCCATACCCTGCAGCTAAATGTCTTCTCAATGCCCTTCAAAGCTTCAATCAAATGGTCCGAGTCGCTCCGCGCACTTCGCCTCTATCTCGAGCGCCTTATCCTCGGGCGTTGGAGACTGGGGGTCTTGGGAGGCGGCAACACTATACACACACATGCCTCGTCCCATAAAGGCAGTACGGTAGCTAGCATCCGAGCATCACAGTACCATCGGTAAGGCTGAGCGACATGCCCCAAGTTCCCATGCCGCCTGGGTGCCCACTCTTCGCCTGCCGCCATGCGCGAACTCCGCGCAGCCTTCTCAATTGATGAGATGCTGTCGGCTGCAGCAAAAAAAAGGGCCACTATAGGGACCACACGCTGCTCGTTGCTGAAACACGTCTGGTCTTCGAGCTAAGGACGGTCTCCAACTCTTGCTACTTGCCACACCCTAAACCCTAAACTCTAAATCGTAGTTTCCATTTTCTTTCCACTATCCCTACATAACCCCTATGTGTACTCTCCTATAATATAGTAGCTTCCATGTTCTTTTCCATTATCCCTGAATAGCACCAATATCAAGAATCAGGGGTCTACATTAGGGGTTGGAGCTCCAAAAGCCTAAAGCCTAAACCTTAAACCCTAAACCTTCAAGCCAGGATAAATAGAAATTGTATTCTCGCCCGCCCATGTCAAAGATTTCTCAGAAATAAACGCTCAGTAAGACAGCCAATTTTAAGCTTATTGGACTCACTTGTGGGCCTTTCGGAGCCAAATTGCTTCCAAAAGCCTGTGAGGAGGGGTTGGAGAAACCTTTACAAAGCACCTATTCTGAGCAAAATTCCCAGGGCAGGAGCAAAAACAAAAAGGTCAAAACCCGCCCAAAACTCCCGACCTGAACCCTATACAAATTCTATGTATATAACCCCTAAACCCCTAAACCCAGGGGTTGTCAGGCACTAGAAAGCCAAATTTCTAGATCCAACCCAATGTTACTTTGAACAATCTCTAAACTCTAAACCCCATGGTCCTGCCACTAGAGCTGAGAAGCCCGTAGCTTAGGGCTGCCATCTCAACCCCAAGAGGGACATGGGCCTCCGCAGCCTCGGTGAGTCGCGCTGCTGCCTCCGTTTTGTGTGGAATTGTAGGATTTAGGGCACTATATAGGGATATCTGGCAGATCTGGAAATATCATATAGGGATATATAGGGATATATGAGGGTTTTGGGGATATAATTAATGTAATGATATAAAAGGTTTAGGGTTTAGGGTTATATAGGGATATATAGGGGGTATATGGGGATATGATGTTGGGATAGTTCAGGCACCCCAGGCCACTTTCAACATCGAAACATGAAAAAGAGGGTACCAAGGCGTCATCCGCATTGACCCCCTTCCCCGCCTACCTCCCAACAAAGGATCCCTCCGAACAACGGAATCCGACATTTTGGCAGCCATCAAATCTGTCGTACTCCGTCTACCCACGCCTGTAAATCCTATTGTTGGTGGAAAGTAAAAACAATTCAAAGCTCCATTTTGGCCACCCCCGCCCTTTGTAGGAATGGGGCCATGACTTTCAATCCCACGAACCATGAACTTTCCTGTCTATAACCCGCTTTCAAACCCCCTTGTAAACCATTGCCACAGGACCCAGAACACAGGGCCCACGGAGAGGGGGGGCCTGTGGAGGCCAATAAAAATCAATGAAACCTTTGAAACCTTTATAAATAGACACTCCCGGAAAACCATTTAAGACCTTTTAAGCAGCCTCCTATAAAGGTCTGAAACCTTTTTAACCCTTCTATGAAACTCTAACTGTATAATAAACCTGTATAGAAAAACTATCTAGACACCCTATGTGAAGCCCTGTATAAAACTCTAGAAAACTCTTTACAAACCCTTTAGAGACCCTTCAAAAAACCTTTTGAACCTTGTATAGACCTGAGACTACAAAACCAAAGAACCCTCTAAACCGCCTAATCCTTCCCCCAGAATATTAAAGGGCGCCTTCCCTCCCTCGCCCTAAAATGTATATATCCGATCCGTATTTCATATCGCCGGGGGGGGGGGGTGGGTGGGTGGATTTATCGTACACCCAACAATGATGGGGGAATCCAATTATAATCGAATCAAAATCGAAAGGCATCAATAAACAGCTGATTGCATTCAATTAACATCGTAATAAGATCGTAATCAAAAAGCAGTTCAAATCAATTTAACAGCAAACAAAATCTGGCATACAAACGATTGCAAAATCACATGAACTCCAATTCTGATTTTTGTATAAATTCCTGCGTAAACCCAATCAAAAAACAATCCACCTCGGGAACGCGTTCTACGGAACTGTATCTTCCTTTTTGCCGTGTCGTTATCACTCAGAGTAACTAGTCCATACAGTGCATACCCCCTACTGTCACTCCCACCCGTAATACCAAACCTTCATTACAACGTAATATAAATGCTGAGCATATTAATTATATTCATTGTTGGTGGGATATGGGAGGGTTTCTTACTGGGGAGAGGGGGTGACAACAGAAGGATGCCAAAACAGAACCGCCTTCTGCGCGGACTTGATCTTGGCAGCGGGTGCAGCCTCCAAAGCCATAGCTTTCTCAAGCTCGGCCTCGACCTGTGCCAGGAGCTGAGAAAAAACATTGCCGTGAAGTAGTACCTGAACCTAGACTTATGTAGAGCATCAGCCGTTTTGGCTGATGTTTACAGGGTCTGGATCGACAGGGGCTCATTCACAATACTATGGTCGCTCCGTGTTTTGGGATCAAGTCTGTGGCTTCTGTGGGCTCACGTCACTGCCTACCATTGTATATTAACTCCGAGAACCTTCCTTTCAAGTGAGCTCCGCAGGCCAAGGCAAACCGCGAACATGCCAATACAGGGGCCTTGGCGACCATGTTCGACAGGTTGGTCTCGGCTTCCTGCATGAGCAACCATGCATCTTTTCTCGTCAGCCTTCTTTGATGGGCTCAGCCAATTTCTTGGAGCCGCTTCTCTGCACTAAGGCTTTGTTGCCACGATAGAGTAGTCATCTCAGAAAAGGCTCATGCTGGAGATCATGAGACCCGTCACCACGTTTTAATGCATTGGGCAAACGGTGCGCCAGAACCCGGCTGGTAACCTGCTTGTTGAGTGCTAACTGGAAGAAACTGCTCACCCAAGAAGCCAACACAACTCTGACAGATCCGCAGATCACGCTGTCCCTAAATCGGAACTGAATGCCTGTAGCGCTGTAGCACCTTCATCAGCCTGTGAGGTTGCAGCAGCCACCTGGCGACTGGCGACGTCTTGTTTTGTGTGTTTCATGCTTGAGCCTTGAGCGCTTTGCAGGGAAAGAGGCCCTCATGGCCATATGACCTTGCACTTCACTGAGCATTGTTTTCAGTGATACCGTGCTGCTATCAGTAGCGCAGCCATGCGGTTGGTTTGCTGGGCTGGGGTGAGTTTATGGGCACCGTGGGTTAGTATGATGAACACGTATCCCCACAAAATGTTGGGATGCGATTTCTCCATTTCCCGACGTGCGATCCACAAAAATCGGAAACTCCTACATACAGAACTGTTTTTTTCCTTGGTGCTTCCTGCAGCGTGCCCTCAAACGACCATCTGCCCTCTGAGTTCCTCGAGACTTACATGGAACTGGTGAACAAGTCTTGGTCAAGGTAGGGTAGACCCTGCTCTGCGCCTCTTCGTTGTGCTGATCCCGGTGCGCCTCTGCCTCTGGCATGCGCTGATGAGGCTTGTTGCGTTCTCGCTGCGACGACGGGATATTGTTCGTGGACATCTGCTACTTGGTGCTGCATAGCTCTTCCTCTTCGTATGCTCCCTCGTTTTGTAGGCCCCAAATGTGTTTGGCAGCTAGCCGCCCAGGCCACAAAGAGCGAACAAGCAATTTGCAAAATGTTGAGCCGACGTCTGCACCGGACTTTCAGGCATTCAGGGGTACCCAACCAAAAACAGCACTCCTGTTTAAGATGGCCCTAACATACGTCAGGTCCAAATCTAAGTCATCGGGTACCTGCTGAAGCCAAAAAGATAAGACAGGCCATCTCATGAGTGAAGGCCCATGCCACCTACACATACATGAAACCACTGCCTCAGGCACCAGCAATTGTCGCGTACGACAACGACTGTTTATCTCTATCCATGCCTGGAGGATCCTCATCTCTTTCTGTTTTCCATCCATCTCAGTCATACATGAACCTCAAAAGTATGTAAAAGAAATGCCTCGAGCAATCCCTACATCATCCCTATCTAGTCTAAACCATCCTAAGCCTTAAACCCTGACTGCACAAAGCAAAGCAATTTGGTAATTTCCCAAAATAAAGGGACCCCAATATAGACCCCAATATACTATAGTCCTTATTATGGGGACCCCTAAAATGGTACTCCTAATTTTGGGAAACACCCATTTCTGCCTCCGCAAGGCGCTTGGCCGAGGCTTCGAAGTTCTGCGAGGCTTTCTCCTTGGCTCTTTTCGTGGAGGTTTGGGGTTGCTAGGGCTTATATGAGCTGTAGTCTAAACTCCTAGTATCCCCCTTAATAACCCCTATAGTCCCATATACAATCCCCAATATGATCCCCTTTAAGGAGCTTAGATTGTGGCTCATATAGTGATATATAAGCCCAATAAAGTTGATAAGGCTTATGTGGGCGTAATGGACAAGCAGATGGAAGCTACTATTTCAGGCTTATGGATATTCAATCCCAATACTGGAGAATGAAACGGAAAAGAACATGGAACATAAAATGGAAAGTTGGGAGTTTTGTGTCCGCGCTCCACGATCTCGGTCCCACCACAATTAAAGGTATGCCCCATCTGGGGATGAGCCAAAACCCTCATAGGCCCTCTACGATCCCTCCAGAAACTCGCCAACCTATTTTAGGTCTAATGAACCCCCCCTCGTAAAGCATCTATAACAATGTATAAAGCCGTTATAAACCCTGCTCAATCCCTCTATCTCTATACGCACTGTCTAAAACTCTATCGAACCTTGATAAACCCTCTGGAAATCCCTCAGAAAGCCTCTTGGACGCGATAAAAAGCTACCATGAAATTAATGAACCCTCTGCAAACCTTCTTTCAGCCTTTTAGAACGCCTCTATACACAATATAAGCCTCTATAAACCTAATTTAAGCCTCTAAGTTACAACTAACCTAAAACACCAAACCCAGACCACAGGACCGGGAAGGGGGGTAGGTTGATCATACTTCTTTCTTGGACCACGACTTGGGACCCATGATTGCTGGCGCTTGTATAGTAGCTTGGGGTTCCCCGGAAACCATCATGACGGCAGGGTTATGAGGACCCTAATGGACCCTGAGTTGGGCGAATGTTAGAACCGCACCTATCCAAGTCATCAAGCTGCGGTACCTGTAACCACGCATGAACCTCCAGTTTCCATGTGATTTTCCATTGTCCTGTCCATTTGATTCGCTATTCTTGGGGCAAAGGAATACTGGTATATGAACATCTACTTAGGCACTGAGTTGTGTCATACTACATAGAACGCGGAGCCATCGCTTAGTCAGCAAGTCGCACGGCCTCTGAACCATACAGTATCCAAGCCCGAAGCACTCCATCCTGCCCTGTGAGGGCTGATAAGTGGGTGTCCCAGAGTTGGGGTCAATCTTCTGGGTTGCTGTTAAGGAACTTAAATTAAGTTACTATATTGGGGAAACCCCATTATTTACTATATATACCCATTATGGTAACTTAATTTAAGTTCCTTAACAGCAACCCAGTCTTTTACCATCAGAAAACAACATTATGCACTGCAAGGACCCCTGTATTGTTAGGGCAGCACAAGTCTGTGCACATCCAAATCCAGGCGTCTGCTTCCTTCTCTACAAGGGCCTCCTGGCGCTTGGCCTGCGTGAGAGACGCCTGCAGCGACAATTCTGGCAGGTTGTAGCTCTTAACCACCATGAGCCCCGTGTACTGCTGACTGCTACAGAAACTACAATTGCTGCTGCTCCTGCTGCTACTTCTTCTTCTACGTCCTTCTACTTCTCTAAGCCCTACTACATCCTACTACTTATTGCTACACTGCTACAGTTGCTTTGATTTGTTATTGTTATTGTGGCTGAGTATCTTCTTGTTGCTTGTCTTGGCCGGCATCCTGGTTGAAGCGATGAAGGTTTTACACCGCAACTGGGCACCTCGGAGTTTGTTCAAGTCCTTTTGAGTCAAACGCTAGGCTAAGCCTACCGGTACATGGCAGCCAATACTGTACAAACATTCCAGTATTATGGTAACAACCTGGTAGCTGCCTAACCTCACAGGGTGCACATCTACGTGCACTCAGTGTAGTTGTGGGCGTGGGCCGGACGCCCTCTTTGTCGCGGGCCACCATGCCCTCCCCGCTGTTACAAACCTCTTCCGCGGCCGCCTTGTTTCCAACCCCCTTTGTCGCGTACTTGGGCTGAATGGATGAAGTCATCGAGGGCTTGTTGTGGAGGGGATTCGTAGCAAAACTAGCCTTCTGTTACAAACCATTTTTCGTTGGAGGGCCGCTCAAGGATTTTTTTTGCCCGCTCCCAGATACATCCACATATACACAGGTGTATAGAGATATGCGTGCATATGTGTATATGTATATGTACATATATATATATATACGTATAGCTGCCTCAGAAATGCGTGCATACATACACATGGTGTGTAGATCTATCGAAGCTTCTTGGGTATTATCGCCCTACAACTTGAGCCCACCCGCAAACGGATCGTAGTTCTGACAACCCCCTACTTGGAAGCTCTCTTGACGTACTAAATCTACTTAGCAACAGGCGTTATGGGGTTATAATAATGGGGGCTATTGGGGATGATGTATAGACTCACGAAGTCGAAAGATCCAAGTACCCCCGTGTCTGGCGAGTCCTGTGCCCGCTTCAAGCTTTCCGCGGCCGTGGATCGCGCCGAAGCTGCGCTTTTGATCTCCACCTTTGCCGGGAAAGCTGGTGCGGCAAGACTCACCTATAGGACCTAGGGCTTACACCCTACAGCAGCCTTTTTTTTTACGTTCTTTTTGGGCGTACCCATGATAAGTAGTATGGTGAAGATACTAATGACGAAAACTGAGCCTGTAAGCAAAACCTTTGGACAGTCTGACAAACTCAAGCTGTTTAGTTCAGTATCTGGAAACAGGACGAGCACCCTTGAAGGTTGAACCCGCTCGGAGCCCTTCACGGATGTTGGCAAGTTCCAACTTCAAGTACTGATCTGAACAAACCGTCCGGAAGGAATAGCTGGGCCAAGATGCGGCTGCTTTCTCCAGCTGCTGCTGCACTGTGGATAGACTGCTTTCCTGAAGGCATCCGCCCACCCGCTTACCGTGCTTAATCTCTGACACAACTGCAGCCTTCCGCCTCTAAGGTCAAATGTAAAGTCTATGGAAGGAATCTTAGCCAGGCAGATCTACCCTTGCAAGATGTCATGCTTGAAACGTACAAGTTAGCAGCTTCGGCACGCATCACTTCCCCAACACGTCCCTCACACTCACCACCGCAGGCAGAACAGATATTCTCTACATGTTTACCTTCCCTGGGTCCAACTGTGCACCAAGCAGCCTTCGCCAGCCGCGCTGCAGCTGCTTTCCCAGCTGCATCCTCTGCGATCTTCAGCTTCGCCTTCATGAGCCTGCCATATCTCGCTAGGGAAACCATGTCTGCTACGGGAGATTACGGAGCTGGCTTCAAAAACCCAGAAACAACAGAAGCGGGTTTCTGCCGCCCGTCTTCCTGACCAATCCCTGTTGAAACATGCAACCTCAAACAGCTGTTCTGTTCTGAATCGAACTGGTCAAGGCCGTCCTGACTTCCGGCGCGGCACCTGCGAGCTCATCGTCCTGCAAGGACTCTAGTGACTCTAGTGTTCAGAGTGCTTGAGCTCCAGGCTTGCGCTGACTCAACACCAATGTGTTGAGAGACAATTGCTACAAATCCCTTCAGTTTGCCAACAAGCAGCCCATAAAGGGGCGGATGCACTCAAAACCCTCATCTCTGGCGATTGCCAGGGCAGTTGACACCGCAGCCCATCCTATGCGTTGTATTTCGCAAAGCAAGCATGTCCATGGAATGCAGGTCCTGATCGCCCTGGAGGGTGCTGTAGAGGAAAGAGAAACTGCTCAGGCCCACCTTGCAAGAGGAAAGCTCTCATGGGCCGCTGAGGGGCTCAGCGCTAGCTCAGGCATGCTTTGACAAAGTTGGCAGCCCAACTGCAAACATGTTCTCAAGGTTGGCCAAGAGTCTGCAGGGCCAGCTTTCAACCATTCTTCGGCAGCGTCGCATTGAGCCGCACAATCCTCACTGTAAGTAGTTCTGGTATGTTTGGCCGGCTACTGCAGTCAGTGAATCTGTAACAACTTGTCGTCAAAGATTGTTACAACTCCCACACCTGCCATCGTGTCTTGTCGACACTACCTTCAAGCGGCAGGCTGCCGCAAAAAATACTGAGCAGCTCACAATGGCCCAGTACTGCTGGAAAGGTAAATGCTTTGCGGCGGCAAGCTTGCAGAGAGGTTGTACAATGTTATACAGCCACGGATCTTCGATGCCATGCTGATGCCGCAGTAGTGCACGCGTCTCGCCGTGCGCAGGATCCGTCCATTCAAAGAGCCCATGGATCTCCTCGGCGGTGAAATACCTCGGTCAGGCTGGTGTGAATAAATGCTGTTTGTTCCCTTTTGACCTCAAGCCATGCCATGGCAGCTTGAGGAGGTTTGAGAAGGAAGACTCTGGTGTGTGCAAGTTAGCTTGACCAAGCCTGTGGGATGCGAGAGTAGGGGGTGCCGTACGCAATCCTGGGCAATGCTGGATCCTCAGAATCAGCCACGGTGCCGCTGCTGCTGCTTGGTCTCGAGGGCTGTTTTTGTCCTTTGATCTGGTAGTCGAGAATGCGTGATTCAAGGTCGTCACTGATGCTGGAAATGACTGCAAAAGACTTCAACACATCCACATCATATGGAGTGGAGAGCTAGAGCAAAAGCAAGACAGCCACAGTACTCAACCAAACAGACACAGAGGGCAAATGCTGCATATGTGCAGTGCGACGACAGCAGGGCAGTCAGTCATCCATGATGGGGCTAGAGCTGGGTGGCGTACAGGGATGATGAGAGATGATCTTGCTTCCGACCCTCTTGTCCTCCTTCTGGGGACCTCCAGAAAGGCACCCATTGTTGGGGTACACCCCCCCCCCTATTGCGAACACCACTTGCATGTGGCAAGACACAGGCCCATCTTGAAGACCTGCAGGCGGAACATCTTGTCTTCAATGAGGCCACTCCTTGTGAAAATTGTGCAGTCTGTTCCAACCAAGGATGTGAGCGTTCACAGACAGAACGAGTAGATCAATAGCAGATCATGGTAGATTATAGTGGAGTATAGTATATGGTGGATAGTAGGTTATGGTAGGTTATAGTCTGAGGAAACTCGGGGCGGGCGGGGCTGTGGCACATGATTCTGATTAAGTTTTCCGATCGCCAGGTTTGGAAGGTAAAGTGGCCTTTCGAAATTGAGTTTTGACACACGCATCGCAAGGGGTGAAGGGTTTAGGGTTCAAGGGTTTAGGGTAGTAGTTTCCATCTCATTTTCCATTATCCCAATATTACCCCATTATAACCCCAATATACTATAGTAGTTTCCATTATATTTTCGTTATGGTGGAGGGTTTAGGGATGTGGTTGCTCGAGGTCGCCTGGCTTTGGTGTGTCATGCTCAAAGAGATCCATCTTCAGGACTTTTCCCGACCTACGGGTTCAAGCAACAAACTCTGATCCGCAGATCCCGCCAAATTTCAGCAAGTCCACCGGACCTCATGGTCATGCATTGTCCAGAAATGACCCCACTAAGTCGTCACAGTACGGGTAGATCCCTGTCATACAGCAACACCAAGAGATCTGCAGGCCTTGAAACGCATTCGCCCTTGGTAGCATCAGGGCCTCATAAGAATACAATCTTTTGCCTCTGTTCACGTGTCTCTATCATAGCTACACGGACAAGCTCCAAATATTTTTAGGAAGTCTGATAGCATAACCGTTAACCCCTTCCGCTTCCATAGGCACCAAGTGTCATGACCAACCGGTAGGTCCTCACCTCTCGCTCTTGTCCTGCAACACGAAATGCTGGCATGGAAGATCTGAGCCGAGGGGTCACCTCTCACTCGAATTAGATGCAGGTTCGAGGAGTCATGTTATGAGGCATTTCCGTCAATTCGATCATGTAGCTGGTCACCAACTATGAAAGAAAGGCATGTATGGCCACTGACTATGAAAGTCAGGTATGCCGGGTCCGATCCGGTGGGCCCGATCCACAGCTTGCATGTCGACCGCAGGATTCCTCAGCTCATGCCAGGCAACGATGCCAACTGAGTGAGGCTTCGGATAATGAAGACATGCACAAAAATGTAGGCTTCTGCATTTGTGGTGGTAGAAGCTGCAACAATACCTGGCAACCCGGCTGTAAATTTCATTGCATGAAAGCTGACATCATTAAGGAAGAAGCTCCAGGCAGGGTCCAGGATGATGATGCGATCTGCAGAGGTCAGGTTCAAGCCGAAGCCGCCGACCTTCGTTGTCCTTGGTCTAGGGCTTTTTCTCTAATGATCCTGGACGCTATAACTCTGCGTGGGATTGCAGATCTCAGCTGCACCTAGGCAGGGTCAAACTACGCAGGGCCAGCAAGCACATAGTTGAAGCTCCAGCCAGAGTGCCCAAGCAGATACCAAAGCCGGGAAACCTCACGAGTATGTCATGGCTAGTGGATAGCTGGAGGGCCCGAGGTAGACAGAAAGTCTGAAAGCAGCGGGAAATGTCCTTGCTGCTTAATGGCATGTAGTGGTTTTGGCCAGGATGTTGCCCTTTTGACTCAGCACAAATACCTGCAGCCAAGCCTCAGCAGCATGCAACTGTAGGACTGCGGCTCAGTCTGAAAGAGCCGCACCCGCTCATTCCGCGCCTGCAAGGAAAATCTGTCAAGCGCAATCTGAGCTACGTGATCCATGGTACCTCTGCCACCCAAATCTGTTTCAAACAGGTTGACTCGCTGTTGTGACCTGGTATCTATGAAGCTGCTTGAAGACTATGTATGCTAGTGCTTCTGCGCGAAGGCAGCTGCATCCTCCCAAACAGTACTATCGCTTCAGTCTTGAATATCTCATGCGATGCGAACAGCCGGGGGAGTCAGACCGTTCATCGACTTGCATAAAAAATGCAAGAACCCCGTTCCAAAAAAGACGGGAAGGTAGCATTGAACTCCTTTTTGATGCGGCATCTTCCAACGTGGCTGTTTTGCGGAAAGCGTGGCTTTTGCAAGTTCAAATTCAAGCAAATATGGTAGTTTCTCAAAATTAGGGGTACCCACCCGTTTGGGGTTCGTATCATAAGAGCTATATTGTTTAAGGGTCGACAATTATTTATTGGGGTCCCCGGATTTTGGGAAACTTCTGTTACGGGCTTCCCCGCCACAATCTCGGTCTGTCCGTCAATGCGCAGGTATTTGATCTTCTGCTTTCGCAAGATGCAGATCTCTACCTGAGCAACACATACCGAGGTAGGATCTATTGAGAGCTTTGTTGTTGGTGCACCCTATAGCTCAAACTATGGCAGTTTCCCTAAGTAGGGACCCCAATATAGATCCCAAAATATTTTTGTCCTTATTATTGGGATACCCCCTACTTGTGGGGAAGCTCCCATATGACCGGCAATAGAGCTTCCTCCTGGGAGAATACGTTGCACTGCTGGGGATTCCGGAGTGTCGGCAGCATCCAGCAACAGCAAAAGCAATACCCAGGTTACCCTGCCTAAGCGGATGCAATAGGAGTTTTGAGAAACAACAAGTAATTATCAAGACCCTCCTTGCACCCTTAATTGGGGAGAGCGGCCTGCCATGGGGCCTGGGTTTTTGCATACCCACT